TATTATTATACAATAAAAAATTAAGTATTTATATATTTATAAAAATTTAATTTTTATTTATAAAAATAAAATTATTAAAGAACTTTCATATGTTTCTAAATTTCATTAATAAATAATCTTATTATACAATAAAATATAATTAAAAAAAATTTCATGAGTTTTTATTTAAAAAAAAAAAAATATATATATATATATAAATATATTATTTTTGATAAGAGAAATTAAATAAACTAAAAAATTATAAACTAGAAAATAATATAAATAAAAATAAAATAAAAAAATTATATAAATATATTCTATATATATAAAAAAAAAATTAATTTATATATATTGATAAATAAAAAAATAATATGTAATTAATTTAAAAAATATATTAATATAAATAATAAATATATATATGTATATTTACATATATTTTTATTATTTTTAATTTTTAAATTGGAATATTTTTACATTCATTTACATAAATTTTATTTTTTTTTTTATGTTTTATTTATACTTTTCTTATTTTTTTTTTTTTTTAAATTATTTATATTTTTTAATTATAATTTATACTTATATTTTTTTTTTTATAATTTATTATTATAATTTATTTTTTAAGATTTTTAATTTTATTTTCCTAAAATATATTTTTAAAAATCTTATTATTTTTTCTTCCCTATTTTTTTTAATTAAAATTTTCAACATATTTTATACTAATTTTTTTATTTGTATATTTTTATTTTATTTTTACTTTTTATTTTACTTCTTAAATTTATAAATTATTCAATATTGATATTATAATCATGTCTTAAATTTCAGATTTTTTCGTCTATATTTATAAATTTATTAAGATTATAAAATTAATTGTCACTTTTTTATTATATTTAGTTAATTTTATCTTCATTTATGTTGTATTTTTCTAACAAACTTCTTATGTAATAGATTAATATTATTTTAAATTCAAATATATAAATATACAATGATTTTTTTTTACATTTTTATATTTATAAAATAATTTTATGCTTTTGATTTATTTAGGCATTTTTTCAAAAAAATAATTTTATTTATATATGATATCACATATATATTATTTGCTTTTAAATATTTTTTTTAAAAAAATAAAAATAAACTTGTTAATAAAAAAATGGTTATAATTATAAATATTTTTTTCTGTAGATTGAGTATTCAAAAATAAATATTTGTTAATTAGAAAAGATTAAATCCATATTTTTTTATTTTTATTTTTATTTTATTTAAATTAAAAATTATAATTAATTAATTAAAATGATATAATAATTTAAAGTTTTTTTTTTTAAATATCTATATATTTTTTTTTATAAATATCTTATTATTTGTATTTAAAAAAATAATAAAAATATTTTGATAATAATTATTTATTAAAAAAAACATCAATTTTATTGTTAACGTTTCAATATTTTAAAAATCTAAATATATTTTTATAAATAATCTAACAGGAATAAAATTTTTTGTTATTTAAAAAAAATATTTCACTAAATCTTTTTTATTTATTATAAACTAAAAAAATTTAATAACATATAAAAAATATATTTAGTATTTTAAAAAAAATATTTTTCAATATAACGTAAAAATTAAAAAAATATATATATATATAAATTAACCATAAAAAAAAACTAAAAATCTATATTAATAAAAATATAAATAAACAAAATCAAGAATTTCATATAACTATTCTTAAAAAAAAAAATATATAAGAATTAAAAAAAGATGGTTTTAAACACTAAAATAACATCTTACCTGAACAGCGTAAATATCCCGAACAAATTTATCTTAGAATTTTAGCTGGACTTGATTTTATGGATAAGTGTTTTATATTGAAAATTTTATACTTTTTTTATTTAATTAATTAAGTAGAAAAGACGGAGATAATTATAGTGTTTATGAAATTATTTTCATATTTTTTTTTTCGTAGAATTAGGTTCATAAAAGCCTTCTATATAGTTAATTCTAAAATGCTTTTTTATCCTTCAAAATAACCCTAATTAAATAGAATATGGGCTTAATATTATCTATATTGACCCCCCCCCCTACCCTCCCCACCCCCATAATATCTGGTTTTATGTTCTTTTATCAGTCAATGTAAAAAAATAGATAAAAACGATAAAAACAAATCTCAATCCATTAGTAAAAAAATATTTCAAAATAAAATCTGGCTTTTTCATTATAATATTCTTTTTTTATAAATATATCGGTAATAGACACTTTTGTAAGTTTTTAATTTTCATAAAAATTTTATATTAATGCCTGAAGTATTTCGGAGTATGAATTTGGATTATATGCTTATTATATTTTGGGTCTGGGTATTTTGGGAGCTACAATAATTACAGAAACTCTCGTAGGGCAATATCTAATGAGTGGATTTATAAAGATGAAAATAAATAAAATTAAAAATATAATTTTTAATAAATTTATTATATTGAATATTCTGGATATGGTTATATATATTTTAAGTGATAAGGATATTTAAAATATTATTCATTGTGTATTTTTACCCATTTGCAATTTCTTCTTTATTAAAGTTCATTTCAAATTAAATCTTATGTAAAGTTTTTAAATGGAAAAAATATAATCATGGGTTTTGGGTTTAATATCAGAAGGAATAAACCTTTTTTTCGATTTTAAGTGCAGGGTTGGCATATCCTAGTTTTTATAAGGAAGATAAATGCTATTTATTTGGGGATTTTTTTACATCTTTTTATGTTTTATTATGCCTGTTAGTCCAATATTAAAACTAGAAGTCTTTGTCAGAAGTTGGATGATTTAGTTGAGGAAGATGATTTAACTAAACTAAATTTAAATAAATGAGAGATTTGGAGTATTTATATAAAACAATGAGTATATATATGTATATATATATTTAAAAAATATTATTTTTGTTTTAATTATATTAATTATATAATTATATGTTTTCTTTTTTTTTATATTTGATAGATTTTTTTTATAAAAAAATTATTATTTTTGTTTTAATATTCAATTATATATTATATAAAAAAGAAACTGATAAAAAAATTCCTTTATACAATATATATAATATAATTTATTTAATTTTTCATATATAGAAATAAAAAAATATCAACAACTTATACAAAGAAAAAAAAAGAAAATACCCCCCATAAAAACTAATTATAATGTCAATAACGATTTCAAATTGCTTCTAAATTTGCAATTCTCCCTTGAATTACTCAAAATCAAAATATTTATATTCATTTCCTAAATCTCAAAGATTTAAAGAAGATACAAAACCAAAGTAAATAAAAAAAAAATTTAAATTAATTTATTTTTCAAATTAAAAAAAAGCTGTGAAAAAATATGTTATGATTTACCTTCTGTAATCGACAAAAGAAAAGCAGGTATAGGATATGGAACTAAATATGATTTTACAAAATAAAATAAGAAAGTAATTTCTATAAAACATATATATATATATATATATATATATTTTAAATGTATTTGCATAAAAAAAAATATATAAAGACCCCTGCCCCAAATACATATAATGTTTAATCTGATTTCGAAATTTAAAAGTAACACCATAGAGGATTTTAATTTGGAGTTTCAAGAGAAGTAATATAAATAAAATAAATATTAAAATATATATAAAAAGCTTATGGAAGTAACAGGAATTATGGGCAACTTGAATAAAAAAAATCCTGGTAAATCAAAAAAAAAAAAAAAAAAAATTACAAAAATATAATAAGGACCTGGTACATATCCAAACTCAAGTACTTTAAATAAAGTGGCATTTAGTTTTAGATAAAGAACAGCTAATGATGATCCTTTAAATAGTAAAACTAAATACGTTCCAGGACCAGGAAGGTATATACAAAATAAATATATTATATAAATATAAAACAATTTATCAGTTATCCTATACCCACAGCAATATCTTCTAATGGAAGATATTTTAATTCTAAATTTAATTCTTCCGGAGCATTAAATTTCAATCCTGCTCGTTCTAAACGTTTCCCAGATTAGAATAGAAGTAATATATATATATTATTATTATTTTTATATTTTATTTATAAAAATATATTGAAGATTAAGCTCCTGGGCCTGGTGCTTATGCTCCTAATACTGGAATTTCTAAAGTCGGAAATTATTTTGTGTCAAACTTCTAATCTTCAAAATGCCGTACTTTTTCTCATGGAATTAGAAATACTATATCTAATGAAAACTTTAGTATATTCTTATTAATAATAAATTTATATATATATATATATTTTTTTTTTTTGTAGAAAATACTTTAGGACCTGGAGCTTATAGATTACCAAGTGAATTTGGTTATTATTAGTCTAAATATAAGGTATAGTAGGATAGTCAAATATTAAAGACTGAAAGTCCTTCTAAATAATAATGATTGAACTTATATATTTCAATTGGAAAAAGGAAACAAATATTTTTTATATTATTTATTATAAATATAAATAAATATATATTATATGAAAAAAAAAAAAAAAAAAGTTTATTATTATTAATAAATACTATAAATTATTAATTTCAATTTTAATCTCAATTTCATTAACTTTTTATTATCTAAAAATTTCAATATTTTTTAAAAATAAAGGAACTTAAACAAATTTAATATTTTGAAAAAAATAAAAAAAAAATTTTTTTTTAAATTAAATATTTTATTTTTTTTAAATATTAATAGTTTTTTTTATTAAATAATAATAATAATAACAAAATAATATTATAGAATAATCATATAATAAATATTTATATCTAAAATTTAAGAATTTTTAACGAAAAATATTATTAAAAATTAATTAATAAATATATTAAGAAATAATGAATATAATATTCAGGATAAATATGATTTTATAAATATATATTTTACTTTTTAAGAGAATTTTTTATTTTTTTAAAATAAATTAAAAAATAAATGAATATATTAAAATTATTTTAGAGTTAAAAAAAAAAAGATAAATTAGAAATATATATAAACAATATAAATGAATAACCTTTATAAGTAGATTATTTTGATTAAAAAACAATAGAAAATATAAAAGAACAAATAAATAGAATATATTAATAAAATTTGAATTCATTCTATATATAAATAATATTAAAAAATAAAAAGCATAAAGAATTATAATTAAAAAGAATATTAAATAAACATGAGCAACCATATTAAATAAAATAGATGTTGGACTAACATTAACATATAGAATTAATTTTTATATATTAAAATATTTAAATGAACTATGATACAATTTCTAAATATTAATAAAATTTAGCCTAAAATCCTCAATGTATTAATTTTTTATTTAATTAAATAAAAAGTTTAATCTATTTATTAAAATATTAAAGAAATACATATTTAATACGGAAGCATAGGTAAAAAGAAGAAAAATGGTCAATTTACTATTAAGTTTATTAAATTATATAAAGATTTTATTATATATATGAATCCTCTTAATAATAAAAAGGGTATAAAAATATCAAAATAAAAAATAACATAATATAAAAAAAAGAATCAAAATTTATTTCACTTATAGAAGGAGATATAAAAGAAATTAATATGTAAAAAGATAAAAATATTTTCTAAATAATTTCTAAAGAAAAAACTTATATATTTTAATGTAAAATATAAGATGAAATGAAACTTTGGTAATTATAATAGTATCAATATAAAAAAAATATAATTTTGAATATGATTTTTATATTTAAAAAAATAAATTTTAAAATATAAATAAATATAAAAATATATATTGATATATATATATATATATAAATTTTTTAAATTTATAAAAAAACATTTATATTATATATATATTTTTTTTTTTTTAATTTTATATTTATATTTTTAATATATATATATGTTTTATTATTATTTACTTTTTAATAAATTATAATTAACTATTTTTATTTATGATATTAATTTCTGTAGTTGACATCTTTTTATTTTTTTATTTATAATTACTGATTAATTTTTTATTTTTTTTATTAGTGGTGTATAAATTATTAAAATTTATACACCACTAATAATAAAAAAAAATACATAAATAAGAATTTTAAAAAAATGTTATGGATGTAATATATATATATATATTTATATAATTTTTTTAATATATAAGGGTTTAAAATATAACAAATTGTATTAATTATTTAAAAGAAAAGAAAATTGTTATGGTTATAGATTTTAGAATAGAATAAAATGAAAGAAATATATAAGAAACAATAAAAAACTATAAAAAAAATAATTATTTAAAAGATATTTATAAGTTAAAAAATACATTATAAAATTATAATTAATATTTATAAATTACTACATAATTATACTAAGTATATGATAATTAAAATTCTATTGAACTTATTTAATATTAATAAAATATAAACAATTTAAATGAAGAATAAATTAAATTTTTAATGTAAAAATCTTAATTAAATGATGAAAATATAAATTTTAATTAAAAAAATACTGAGTTTTTAGAATAAAATATTCATAATAAGTTTTTAAATATGAAAGAAATTCAATAAAAGCAAATTTAATATAATAATTTTATATAAGTCTAAGGAAATAAGTTTTTATGTAATCTTTAGTGTTTATCTTTCAGAAAAATATTTAATAATTTAAATAATTTAATTATGTTTAAATCTAATAATAGTTTCTATCAAGAAGAATAATTTTAATAAGAAAATATGAGAATAACAAAGAAAAAAATATGAGTATTTATTTTCTGTTTTTAAATTAAACATTGTTTAAAAAAAACAAATAACATATATATTTAAAAAATATTAATTATATTTTTATAAATTAAATATCATTCCATTATTTTATTTAGGAAAGTTTATTACTAGTCTATTTGGTTATTTTTTTTTATTTATTTTAAAATATATTTATAAATAAGTACTCATATTATTAATCTAATTCTAAAATATGAAAAACCAAACTAAATTCCTATTAAAAAAATAAAATAATTACTACAAACCCTATCCAAAACATAAAAAGCATTAAAAATTACTTTAATATAAAGAAAAAAAAAAAGTATATTTTTATATTTAATAATTATATAATAAAACAATAAATGAAAATATTATACTTAATGTAAAAACTCATATACAATTATTTAACTACTTACAATGATCGTCAAAATTATGTACGCGTATCTTGAACTTTACTTTTCATAAATAAAATAATCAATCTAATATACATATCTTATATATTATATAATTTTGGTTATATGTGTGTTTTAGCATTTTATAAAATAATATTAATATTTGAGTACTATCAAAAAATTTTACATTTTTTTAAAAAAACTTTACTTTGTATCTATGATATTCTTTCTTATATAAGTACTTAGTTTGGAAAAAATTCAAAAAGAAAATTAATAAAACAATAAAAGAAACTTAAATATAATTTATTATAGTCTATATATAATAAATATAAATTATATATTAAACTCTTTTATTTTATTAAATTAATAATTATTTTATATCCCCCCTCTTATTTATTTTTTTAAAAATAAAACAAAAGTGTATATGTATTATTTTATTATTAAAAAAAAAAAGTATATATTTAAGTATATATTTTATTTTTCTAGATTATCTTAAATATATTTTATCATTATGTAATTGCGATATAATCAATATTACATATATATAAATTTTGATTAAAATGATATATATATTTTTTTTTAGTTTTTTGTGTTTTTATATCAATTTAAAATAAAAAACACTATAACTGTTAAGTTTTAACTTTATAAATCATTAGAATATATATTAAATTAAAATATATTTAATATACTTAATAAAATTATTTTTATTTAAACATATTAAACTTTAATTTTATATTTGTTTATATTTAATTATTATATCTTTTAATATTCTAAATATTTTAATTTTATTTTTCCCTTAATAATCAAACGAAAATCCTTTATTTTCTTCATTAAAACTCTATATTCTTTTTATCACCTATCAATTATCTTTTTCGATATTTTGTTACTAACTCCATCTAATTTTAAGTTTAAATTTGCATTTTATGATAATACAGTAATAAAAGCAGATTTTTTATAATTTATATTCATTTTTATTATTTGAAATTACCTACATTTAATTATTAATATAAATGATAACTAAGAAATATAATAATAATAAATATAAATAAATAAATAAATTTGATAATATAAATGTATATATATATATATTTATTTATAATGTAAAAGCATGTAAAATATATATATATATATATATATATATATATATATATATATATATATAATTTTAACCTAAAACTAAAAAAAAAAATGGGCAAAAACATTCAAAATTCAAACAAGAAAAAATTTGCAGCAAAAAAAAATGTAATAACAAAAAACGATAAAGATCAATAAAGAAAAAACAAAAGACATGAAAATTTACAAAAAGCATTAGGTTGTTCGACTAAAAGTAATAATAATAAAAAAAAAAATCAATAAAAACGAAAAAAAGGAAGTAAAAATATAGAACTACCAAATTTAAATGCATTTAAAAGAAAAATACAGCAATCATTAGAAAGAAAAAAAAACCAAAAAAATTAATTAAATTAACTAAAAAATAATGAAAATAAATATCAAAACATCCAAATTCAACAAATTTAATAAAATCACGAAAATATACAAGAAGAGGAAAAGTTCCAAAAACAATTTGAATACTAAGACGATTAGGATTTCTAATATTAATAATTGTAACAAAATGACAATAATATTCTAATTAAAGATGGTAAGAAATATTTCAGAGAAATGAAAAAAGTATTAGAAGCATCAGATATTATATTAGAAGTATTAGATGCCCGTGATCCAGAATCAAGCAGATGTAGATAAGTAGAAGCTGAACTATTACAAATGAAAGGAAATAAAAGAATAATACTAGTGTTAAATAAAATAGATTTAGTACCAGCGTATTATATTTATAAATAAATACAAAGATATAAATATATAAATTTATATATATATATATATATATATATATATATATTTTTATAGAGGTAATGCAGAAGCATGGCTTAAAGTTTTAAGGAGGGAATACGCCACAGTATTATTTAAAGGAAATACCTAAAATTAAAATGATAATTTATCAGGAAATTAACTTTTTAAAAAATCTTTAACAAATAGAGAAGATTTAACAAATGATCTCATGAATAGTTCGAAATCAGTCGGTGCTGATAAATTACTTGAACTTATTAAAAATTATTCTAAAAATGATGGAATTAAAACTGCAGTTTCTGTCGGTGTAATTGGATATCCAAACGTAGGAAAATCTTCTTTGATTAATTCGTAAAATTAAAAAAATAATTTTTTTTTGAAAAAATATTAAATCTTTTTTTCTTAAACTAAAAAATAATAATAAAAAGACTAAAAAGATCAAAAGCTTGTGGTGTTAGTAGTGTTGCTGGATATACTAAAAATTTATAAGAAGTTATTATAGATAAAAAGGTAAAAGTTATTGATTGTCCAGGAGTTATTTTTGATGATGAAAATAAAAAAAATTGCAGTCTAAAAAATGTTATTAAACCTGAATTAATTGAAGATCCTATTTAACCAGTAGAAGAAATTCTTTAAAAAATTACCAAAAATGAAATCTTGCTGCTATATAAAATAGATGATTTTAAAACAACACTTGAATTCTTGTGTAAATTAGCTATTTTAAGGGGAAAAATTAAAAAAGTTTTTTTTTTTTTTTTTTTATTTTTTCATATTTTTTTTATAAAGGGAGGTGCTCCTAATATTGATATTGTGGCTAGAATGGTTATTTAAGATTGGAATTCAGGAAAAATAAAATATTATACTATTCCTCCTGTTTATGTAATTTATATTAATTAATTTTGCATTGATTTTTTGTTATTGTTATATTTTTTATTTAATTTTAATAATAAAAAAATAAAAAGGAAGTTGAATAAACTATAGTATTAAATAATTAATTAAATATTATTAATGAGTAAATTGAATAAGAAGAAATATAATGAAAACAATTTTTTTTATTTTTTAAATTAAATTTATTTTCTTTTAATAAAATTAATAAAACTTTTTTTTTTTTTTTTTTTAAAAAATAATAATATTAAGAAAAATCATTATATAAATAAATATGTCTTTAAATGATTTCTAAATATTAAATAAATTAGGTTTTACCGAAAAAACAAAAATGTCTATAAATTAATTTTTTTAAAAAAAACAAAAAAATAGGAGAAGGGGCATACAGTATAGTTTATAAAGTTATAAGATAAACTGACTAATAATAATATGCATTAAAAAAGGTAAATCTATAAGCTTTATCATAAAAAGAAATAGAATATGCTTTAAATGAAGTACGAATTCTAGCTTCTATAAGAAGTAATTATATAATTGGTTATAAAGAAGCATTTATAGATAGACATTAAAATTGTTTATGGTTGATTTTTTTTAAAAAAATAAAATAAAAACTAATCATATAATAAAAGCATAGTAATGGAATATTCAAATAATGGCGATTTATTATAAAAAATAATCGAAAATTAAAAAAAAGGCTTAAAATTTACAGAAGATTAAATATGGAATATATTTATATAAGTAAAAAGAAATAAAAAAAAAAAAAAAAAAAAAAAAGATAGTAAAAGCATTAAAAACACTTCATGAATTAAAAATATTCCATAGAGATTTAAAAGTATAAAATAAAAATAAAAGAAAATATAAAACAAAAAAGTCTGCAAATATATTCCTTAATAAAGATGAAACAATAAAACTAGGAGATATGAATGTTTCCAAAGTAGCCAAAAAAGGTCTCTTATATACCTAAACAGGAACCCCATATTATGCTAGGTTTATTTTTTAATTAACAATAAAATAAATAAATAAAAATAAAGTCCAGAAATATGGAAAGACCAACCGTATGACGAAAAGTCTGATATATGGTCATTAGGATGTGTATTATATGAAATAGTGACATTAAATCCTCCTTTTAAAGCTTAAGATATGGATGATTTATATTAGAAAGTAATAAAAGGGAGCTATTAAAAAATCAAGAATAATAATTATTCTCAAGATTTAATTAATATAATCAACCTTCTACTATAGGTAAATCCTTATATAAGACCTAGGGCTGATTAGATTTTAAATTTACCATTTATTTTTAAGCGAATTTAGGATAAAAATTTATTAGAATCTGATGTGGACACTGTTTTATTAAAAACTATAAAAATTCCAAAAAACATAAATTATTTAAATGATAAGTTGCCAAAGCCAAATTATTTTACAAACAATATAATAAAAAATTAAAAGGAAAATTTCATAAGGACTAATTCTATGGTATATTCTTTACCAAAAATAAAAAGTTAAAGATTCTAGTCATTTGATGGGATGAAAATAGCTAAAAATTCTAGTTAATAAGATGTTTAAGAAAATTAAAAAAAAATACATAAAGTTAGTCATAGTCAAGGCAAAAAATATGTTATTTAGAATTCTCCAATAAATAATAAATAAAAGAATAAAGAAAACAATAGCTTTTATGAGGATAAAAGATAGTAACATAATAAAAAAAATAAAAAATATTATTTTTATTAAGGTTAAGATTGCCAAATGTAATAAAAAATATTAATATACTTTCAACAAAAATCAATTAATTGGAAAAAAATTTAAAAATGAATTAAAATAATAATAATAATTATTTGTAAGAATTAAAAGATAAAAGTAAAAGTTTAAAAAATCTAGAAATTAATTTAAGATTATAATATGAAAATAAAAATCAAAATTAAAATAATTAAAATATAAAAATTTGAATAAAAAATATATAAAATATATATATATATATTTATATATATTTATTTTTTAATACTAAAAAAAAAATTATAATATATCTTTTCTTTCTTCTTTTTTTTCATAAAAAATTAAAATTTTAGTAATTATATAAAAATATATAATTTTAATTTATTTATAAAAATTTATTTTTTAATTCAAATATACATATATTTATAAATGTTTTATAATTTATAATTTTCAAAATATTTTTTTTTGGTTAACATTATCTATTATTTATGTTTATATGATATTTTTATTATTATTTAACTATATTAATCTAATTTTATTGTCATTTTATTTTTGATTTTTATTTGATTTAAATATTTTTAAACAATTTTTTTTATTTTTATAATAATTATATTATAATAATAAAATATCATTAAATTAATTAAAGTATAAAAAATAGAATATTTACATAATTAAAATATTTTTAATATACAAATTACCTATAATAATTAAATATTATATAAAAATAACAAATAATTTTATAATTAAATGTATTAATTTAAAAACTTTTATAAATATAACTTATTAAATTAATTATTTTATTAAATTAAATATATAATTAATTTACATATATTAATTTAAATTAATATAATAAAAAAAATTTATAATACTAACTGTATTTTAGATTAATGAATTTAATTGTAATTCACAATGTTATATTTATATTTATTGAATAATATATTTACAAAAAAAAATGAATTTTAAATATTTATTTATTTAATAAAAAACAAAATCCTAATTTTATGTTTATTTATTAATTTAATAAAATAAAATATAAAATATAATCAATTTAAATAAAATGTATCTATATTTTAGTCCATATATTAAGCATTTAATTTAAAATTAAAAACATCTTCTTAAGCTTTTTTAATGAATTTAAAAATATTAAAATTGCATTATTATATAGAATATATTTTATCTAAAATTTAAACATTAGAAACTTATAAAAAAAGACCAAATTAATCTACCAAAATAATTTCTTTAATTTAATTTTAAAGTATCATATTTTCCAATTCTTCAACATATATTAATTATTTTTATACTTAAATTTTATTCTATATATTTTATTAAATTGTATTTAAATAATTACAAAAAGATTCTCCTTAACTAAAACTTATTTAATAATCAACAATTTATTTACATTAAATACTATTTTCCTCATCTTTAAAAAACAAAAATATTTAAAAAAGTTTATTTTTTTAAGCTAAAACACTATTCTCATTCAATATATAAACAAAATTTTCATTCAAATTTTTATTTAATTTATTTAATATTATTAATGAAATATTTTCCTATTATTTTTTTAATTAAAATTCGCTTAAATTTGAACTTATTTCACCGTTTTTTTACATATTAATTTCAAATTTCAAAATACAGAAATTTCTTTAAAAAATCATTCGTCGCAAATAAGGATAATTATATGATAATAAAGGAATTGAACATTTTAATAATTCTTAATAATTAATCTTTATAATATTTTATTAAAAATATTAATATAAATTATTTTTTACATTCAAATTGTATTTATGGTTTATTATTTCACCTTGTTTTTAAAATAAATGCGAATTTATTATATTAATTTAATTTTTATTAAATAAACATTATAAATAAAACTCTATTTTTTCAAGATTATCATTATTTTTTATTATATTTTCAGTCAAAACAGGATATTTAATTTAATTTTATTAATCGAAAATCATATATATAATTCCTTTCCTTTTTATAATTTTAAAAAAACGATTTCTATCTGAATTAATAATTGATTTCTATAATAAGAAAATATTTAGTACTTCATTTTTTAATTATATATATAAAAAAAAATATAGTAATAAAATACTTGTAGTTCTTATAAAGGTATAGGTAAATTAAAAAAATATCTATATATAAACCTTAGAGAAATATAACTAGAAGCTATTGTAGTTATAGCATAGAGCAATTTCATTTTATGTATTAAGAATAAAGGTAAAAGTAAGTATTTAATATAAATTTATATATTTATATATATAATTAAATAAATTTACATTTCTTAAATAAAAATATTAGATAAATAAAATATATATATATAAATATAAAAATTTATATACATATGAATATATATATATATATATATTTTTATTTTATTTTTTTATTAGATTATTTTTTTTTAATATTTATTTACTCTTATATATTTAATTTTTTGTTATATTTATATAATTTCTATCAATTTAATACAAAATCTTTGAAATCTTCTATTTTGAAATTTTCTAGGTTTTCTTTTATTTCTTCAAATTAAAAATATTATTAATTTTCCTCTAAAACCCAAATTAATTCATATTAAATTTTCCATATAATCCTTTATTCATCTTCATTTAAATCTTCTATATTTTCTTCATAAATTTCCTTTGAGAATTAATTTATTAACTGTTATAAAAAAAAATTATCGCCTTATTTTATTTTTATCTTATCTAAGTTTTTTCTATTTTATTCAATTATTTAGCTTGTTTTAATGCTTTAATTTATTAATTTTTCTATTTATAATTTATGTTCTTCATTTAAATATTCCTTTATATCCAAAACATCCATTTTAGCTTATAAAAAATAACTCTCAAGTACATTTACATCAAAAAAAGAATTTTCGTTTCCATTCTAAATATCTTAATAAGCTTAATTTAAAAGATATTCGCAAAAAGCAAAGTTATAAATTTATGTTTTTAATTAAGTTAAAGGTAATTAATGTAAATCTTAAATTATAAACAGAAAAAGTAAGTTTTTATCATTTTAATATTAATTAATAAACTATTAATTTTACATATTATTTTCCTTAAAAAATTATGTTTTTTAAAAATTGAAAAGATATGAATTATCTTTAATTTTTTCATCTTAAAAAAAGCAAGAATTTTCCTTTTTTTCTTCATCTTATAAAAAGTAAGAGTTTTCCTTATTTTTTTCATTTAAAAAAAAGCATAAATTTTCCTTATTTTTTTCATCAATTATAAAGCAAGGATTTTATTTATTTTTTTCCATTTAAATATAAAACTTTAAACATTATTCAATATTTTTTAATTCTAAAGAATAATTTTATGTTTATGAAAAAGAAGAAGTTTCTCCTTATTTATTAATAATATAATCCAAAGTATAAAAAGTCGAAAAAAATGGTCTTTTTTCATAATTATCACAGATCATATTTTTTATTAAATTCTAAATTTCAAAATTTAAATGTATTTTTTTCATTATTTAAATTTCTTAAAGAATTTTTCCAAAATCTTATATATTTTCCTAAAACGAAGTAATCTTTTTAGAAAAAGGAATTTTCGGTAAAAATATAATATTAGAAGAAATAACTGAAAAATTTTTAATTTAAAGTTTTTTAGTACATATATTTTAAGAATGCAAAAAATAATAAACACTTAAAATTTATTTTAAAAAAGACAAAAATTTATTCTCAAATAAAAATTCTTTTTTATTTTATAAGAATACATCTAGTGTTTAATATTAAGAAAAATTCTCCTATAAACTGCATATTTTTCCATTTTTTTCATATATTTATATATATTAAACGACATTTTCACAAGAATGATTATGTAATAATAATAAGTTTTACTTTTTTTCTATAATCTTTTCTTTGTTTTATTAATAATCTCTTTCAATTATTATTAAAGGAAGTTCATAATCTTATAATATACCAGTATATATCTTTTTATTTTTTTTATTTTTTATTAATTTCATATTTTAAATTTAAAAATATTATTCCATTTTTATTTTTTTTTAAAATATATAAATATATATATATATATATATTTAAATATAATTATTTTATAATTATATATAAATTAAAATATACTAACGAAAAAATATATGATAAAAGAAGAAGCATTAGACATTACATAAGGCTAACAAATAAGGCGTCATTTTTTCGAATAAAATAATATTTATAATAAGATCTAAATTGAATCTAATAATTAAATAATATTAGAAGAAAATTCTTTTAAAAATAATAATAATCATACATCAATAAAAATAACGATAATATAAACAGCTCGCAAATCGAATCTAAAAACAATCAAATAATATTTCAAATATGTTTTAAATATAAGAAAATGATATTTCTAATAATATTATAAACATTGACTATTCTTTAAATAAGGAAGAGGTAGCAAAAAAAAACATTAATTAAAGTAACATATGGTCAAAAAAAGGATTAAATATACTATTTTATATAAAAAGGTTTCTAAATTATGTTAAAAACATATCTTCATTACATAATTTTAAAAATCTATAAGAAAGAGAATTTAAAATAATAGGAGATAATGCTTTTAGTTACAAATATTATAAATACAACAATTTTTTGGTATTTAACGCACCTTCTTTTTATGAAAATTGATTTATAAATTTTAAGAAAAAAAATTCAATAAAAATTATATATCCTATAAAAACTATAAAAAGCCTTACAACAAAATATTAATGTATTAAATCCAGATAATAAATATAAAAAAAAATGGAATTCTTTGATGATTTTTCTACTTTTTATAAATATTTTTAATATTCCATTAAAAATAGAATTTATATAAGATAATAATTAAAGTATAAATAATCTTATAAAAAAATAAAAAATATATAAATATATTAATATATTAATATTTATTTTTATATATATATATATATTTATTATATATATTTTTATTTGTTATATATATATTAAAAAAAGATTTAATAATATACATAAATTGAATAATATTTATCCTTAAAGAATTAAAAGAACTACAAATTAAGATTTTTATAATTAATTAAAAATTTTATTTAAAATAGTTTTTTTAAATTTATATTTTATTTTAATATGTAATATAATATAAATATATAATTTTTTTTTTTATATATATTTTTATAAAAATTATTAATTTTCCTTTTTTTTTCTATATTTATTTTCTTATTTTATATAAAAGTTTATATTATTTAAAATATTTTTTTAAAAATAAAAATAACAAAAATAAAAATGTAAAATATTATAAAACCAAAATCAGACAAAGAAATTCTTTTAAGAAATACTCCAGGCTGGTAAAATACTCCTGATATTAGTTTTATTTAATTAAAGAAGTTAACTGGTTTAACAAATTTTACTTACCAAGCCACTAACACGCATGAATCAGTTCCTTTTGAAATGAAAGATGTACTCTATAGAGTATTTGGCGTGGCTGAAGGGCTTATAGACCGAAAAAAAGAGTACACAATATTTAAAAAATTAGGTGATTTAGGTTAAAGTCCTAAGTGTTTTGCTTCTGGTTAAATCTGGAGGATAGAAGAATTCATGCGCTCTAACCATCCTTCTTTAGAATAAATGAGAGATGTAAAATACAGGAGGTTAATGGCTATATATATGAGTATTTTTCATAAATTAAATTTAGATACAGTTTAATTGGAAGAAGCTGCTATATAAAAGCAACTTATAAACAATAATCACGAGAATTTTTGGTAAAAAATAAAAAAAGAAAACCTTTATACCGACGAAGAAAAAATTTTCCTAAAAACCATTGAAAATCTATGCTAAGAAAAAGAAATAAATTTTCTAAAAAAAATACTTCCCTAATAAAAGGAAGTTTTATGCCATAATGACTTAAATAACTTAAATATTTTTTATTCTCCGGAAAATAAAACACGAGAAAGGATAAAATTCATCGATTTTGAATATTCCGCTTATAATTTTGCAGCCTTTGATATTGCAAACTATATGAATGAATCTTATTTTAATTATAAATATGACAAAGAGCCTTTTTTTGAAGTAGTCAAATAAAATATATTCTCTTTAGAAGATATTAGAGATTTTGTTTATTATTATTAGGCTTCTTTTTTAATTGAAAATAGAGATTAAATCGATAAACTAGAAGAAAGTGTTTTAAAAAATGAAAATAATGCATTTTTTTATATTTAATAATTAAATTTAATTACAGAAGAAGAATTCTTTAGATAATGTGAATAGTTAGTTTATGAAATTTTATGTTGTTAAATATTGTCAAATTGGTATTGGATTATTTGGTCAGTTGTTTTTAGTAAAACTGAAGGAATGGATTTTAATCATTTATATTATGCGAAAGTTAGATATGAAATTTATTTAGATTTGAAGAAATATTTATAAGAAAAATACAAAATATGATCAGAATTTTTTTTTATTATTAAAATTTATATTATATATATATATATATAAATTTATATTTACAATTTATGACATATATATGTATTTATATATATATTTTTTAAAAAAATATTAATACTAAATTTCATTATTTTTAATATTTATTAATTATGTCTTTTTAATGAAAATTTAAAAGAAGTATTAATGAATCTGATCTTTCCTAAAAATAAATTTTATTTAAAATTTAATCATCTATATCTTCTTTTTCTTCTCCAAAATTCATTTTTTTAAAAAAAAATCCAAAAAATTCATTATTTTAGAAATCAAAACATTAACAAATTTCCTGAATTTAATCTAAAAAATAATCATCGAAAATAAAATTAATTTAAAATTCGAAAATTTTAAGTAAAATTTAAGAATTTTGTTCTGAACAATATTATTTAACTAAAGAATTTAAATATTTAATTAAAAAATATACAAATAAAAATAACTAATTAAGTCTTTTTACAATACATTCTTATAAAATAAAATCAACAAATTTATCCAAATAATTATTCTAAACAACAACTAAATTAAAAATTAATTAAAGGAAAAGCACTATTTATTTAGTTTTCAAATCAAAACATATAAATATATTATTTTTAAATTTTAAAAAGCTCGTTTATTTATACAAAAAACTAATTTCTATAATTCTAAACATTTTATTTGTATATATTCTATTATTTGTAAATATATTTACTTTCTAATTTCTCTCTTTTTCGAATTCTGTATAGTATTTTTCATAATTTTATATATTTATTTCTTTTATTTAACAATTTTTTTATAATTAAATATCGATTTCTTCAATAGAATTGCATTCTAACATAGAAATTCCTTCAAAACTTAATTAATTTATTTTAAATGATTCCAAGTTTTAATTATGTTTTTTTTAATTTTTATCTTAATTTTATACAGAAGAATTTTTATATTCAAATTATTTATTAATTTATTCTTACTAAATTTTTAAAATTTATTTGTATTATATATTATCAAATTATTTAAATTATTTACAATTTTAATCTTATTTATTATTTGTATTAAAATCATATTTTTAGATAATCTATTAAAGATTATTAATTTATACTTGACTATAATCAATATTATTAATTACAACTAATTAAGAATATAAATTATTATTATTATTATTATTATTATTATTATTATTATTATTATTATTATTATTATTATTATCTTTATATTACTCTTATTTTAGTTATATTGTATTATTTTTTTAATTTTCTTAATTATAATTTCTATTCTCTTATTTCAATTTATTTTAATTATTTTATATTTATGAAAAATTATTTTCATTATTTTAGATTTATATATTATTTTTAAATTATATATTATTATCTTATTCTTATTTTTATTCATTTTTAAAATAATCTTAATCATTATTTTTAATTATCTAATGAATATCTTAATTATTTTAATTATTATTTTAGTATTATGAATTTCAGTTTTTTTCTATACATCTAATAATAGAATAATCATTATTTAAGAACCTTACATCTTAACTACTTTTATTTAACTAATCTTCTAATAAATCATATAAATCCTACAATTTTATTCTTTCTTAAGGGTCTTTTTACAAACACTATCTTATAATATCATCCGTTTTATCTTCTTAATATATATATTAATCTGATTTTTTAATTTTTTTAATAATCTATTAAATTACTTATTCTTCTTCATTAATATTACTTGAAAAAAAATATTATTATCCTTTTCGTTTAATTTCATGTAAAATCAAGCCTAAACTCCAAACATCAATAGTATAATTATAAAAAGGCTCATTTTCAAGCAATTCAGGAGCCATATAATTTAATGTCCCAACTGCACTTTAATTAAGGAATAATTATTATTTACTTAATCCAAAATCACCTATTTTGAATATGTAATTATCATTTTTATCATTTAAAACGAATATATTTTCTGGTTTAAGATCTCTATGTACAATCGAATTTGAATGTAAAAAAATAAGTCCGTTTACTATTTATTTCGCTATATATATTATTTCAGTTTAATTTAAATCTTTATATTTTTTTAAAAAATTAAATAAATCGCCCTCATTGCAATATTCCATTATTATATATATATCCGCATCTTATTTTAATATATCATATATTTAAACTATGTTCTCATTTTGCGGAAGTTTTAGTATTTTTTAGCTTATTTCTTTCTCTTTTTAACAAAACTAATTCTCAATATTTGAATTTGAATATAAAGTTTTTGATAATTTCTTTATGGCCACTTTATTACCTGAATTAATTTATTCACCCATAAAGACTTTTGAAAATGCCCCATTTCCAATTGAATTTGATTCAAAAAATTAATATTAGTATTTTTCTCCTTATAATATCTTCATATAATTATTATTTTTTTATAAAAATTGATAAAATTTTTATTTTTAATATAGATTAAATATTTTAAAATATATATATATATATATATATTTAAAAATATAATAGAATATTAATATTTATTATATTATTTTTTAAAAAGTCTATTTATAATTTTCTATTATTTATATAATATATTTTTATATTATTTTTATAATTAAAATTATAATAGTATAATATATTTAAAAAAAAAATATTTATATTATATTATATTATATTATATTTGATATAAAATTAAATTAATGTTTTTTAAACAAAAATTTTTAAAAATAAATATATATTTAATTAAATTTTTTTTTTATATATATATTTTAATTTATATAAAATTTTTAAATTAAAAAATATTTAAAAAATAAGAAGAAAATATTATTTTTAATATTTTTTTTTTATATTAAGTTTTTTTTTTAATTAAAATAAATAATAAAAACACAAGTAACATATATTTTATTATATTTTTTTTTTAAAAAAAAAACTTTCATTTTTTATTTCAAACGTTTAATTTTATGATTTATTTATCTTAATTTAATAATATTAAAAAATACATAAATAAATAGTTAGTTATATTTATAGCATTTAATTTTTTTAATTGTATATAATGTTTACTTAGCTTTAATTTAATAATAATAAAAATTACATTATTATTAATTTCATATAATTTTTTTTTTATTAAATAGATAAATATATTTTAATACATTATTTTTTTTATATTATTCTAATTACTAATTTAATATATTCATATTCATATACATTTATAATTTTTTTTTTATATATATTTTTAAAAATTATTGATATTAATAAATAAAAAAATATTATAATTTCTTTCTAATAATTAATAATTCATTATTATAGAAAAATATCATATATTTTTTACTATTTTGCATTTAAAAAAAAAAAAAAGTCTTAAAATATTAAAACAAAAATTTCTAAATAATTATTAAAATATTATATTAAAAAAAAAAAAAAATTAAATAAAAAAAAATATAAATAAAAATAAAAAAATGGTTGATTCTAAATAATACACACAACGTATTCTTTAGAAATAATTAGAACGTAAACAAACAAAAAATTAAAAAAGAACTTATAAAAAAAATGCAAATAAATACATAACAAAAAAAATAGACGTACAAAAGAATTCAGATTTAAATGTTTCCGTAGGATTAGAAAATAACAATTTATTTTAATGGAATATATGTTTTGAAGGTCCACATGATTCTTTGTATGAAGTAAATAATAAAAAAACTATATATATAAAAGAAATATATTTAAAATAAAAAATAATATAATAAAAAGGCAGGATTATTTTAAGCAACTTTAACTTTTCCTGATAATTATCCTGACATGCCTCCAACAATGAAATTTACAACAGAAATGTGGCATCCTAATATATATCCAGACGGAAAAGTATGCATATCTATTTTACATCCACCAGGAGTAGATTAATTTAATACTTAAGAAAGTGAAAGTGAAAGGTATAAAAATTTTAAATAATAAATATTATATAATTAATTAATTATTAAATATTTATTAATTAATTTTTTTAATTAAATATTATTTAATTTTTAATATCATAAATTTTATTAAAAAAACAAAAACATAGATGGAGACCTGTTCTTACAGCAGAAAATGTTATTATTAGTGTTATTTCTATGCTAATGGACCCAAATACAGAATCTCCTGCAAATGTAGATGCATCAGTATTTTTTTTTAAAAAGAATTAGGTATTTATTTATAAAAAAATATAAAGATTTAATTTAGACATGATAAAGAAGCTTATATAAAAAAAGTAAAATTCTTAACAAAAAAATCTATAGGAGATTTGTGAATAAAAGAAAAAAATTAAATAAATAAAAAATATATATAAATAATAAATAAATTTAATTTATTAGATTAAATTAATTTTTTTTTTAAAAAAATAAATAAATAAATAAATAAATAAATAAATAAATAAATAGATATTTTATTTATATATTTTTTATATAATAATATTTTTTTATTATATAAAAATTATTTAATAAATATTTATAATATAAATAATTTATTTATTTCTAAAAAAAATTAGTTTAATAATATCTCTATCTATTTATATCATTTGTTATTATGTATTAGAGTATTTCTATCCTTTGGCTTTCAAAATTTATAATATGTTAAATTATTGCTTTTTATAAAAGTACTAATATATAAAAAATAAATTATAATAAAACTAAATAAAAAAACATTATATATTTAAAAATTAAACAAAACAAAAAAAGTCAATAATATTAATAAAAATATATATTATTAATATTTAATTTTTTATTTAATAATATAAATATCATATTTGCCATTTTTTTTAATTTAATTCCAATATAAATATGCTAATTTAACACAAAGTATTTTTAAAAGATTTTTTTTTTTAAATTAAATTTTTATAAAAATAAAAAATATTATTTATAATATATTAATATTTATTTGATTATTAATTCAAAGAAATAAATAATTAAAATAAATAATAATTTAAATTAATCAAATAATAATATAAAAAAAGAAGAAAAAAAAAATATATATATTTATATATAATAATAATTAAAAAAAATATGCCATAAGAGAGTTTACGTTTAAAAACATGGTTCCATTGGACCCCAGAAGAAAAATCACATGCCATATACGAAGGTTATTTTAGGCGTATATTAAAAAGCCATGAAATAAAGAATTTCTTATGGGCAAATCGTTTAAACAATTTATCTAATTGGGGATATCCTTTAATAGCTTATCCACTATTCTGCCTTACATTATTTAGACTTGCCCCGTTTAGATCCATTTATTACAAACATAGATCTCAATAATGGATTGTTTTTAAATATTCAACAGTAGTTGCAAGTTGGGTATTATGGCTTAATTTTAACCCAGCTTTTAAGAATTTGGAATAAAAGAAAGAAGATTTACTAGACTTAGTATATGAAAAAATGGGAGATTAACTTACTTAATTGAATGATGCCCTTCCAAGATGGAATACTACTTAAGAGTATCATAGAAGAACTCAAAAATTATATAATTAAAGAAATGGATGGCTTGTAGGTATTTTATATCCTTAAGAATAATATTCATATCCTTTGGTCGATATGTCTAGTTTTCCAACTAATTTTATTCCAGATAAAATTACAAAATGATTATTATTTTTTTATAATAAATAATAATTTTATTTATTTTATCTAGCTTTTTAAAAAAAAAATGGAAATTTTATTTTTTTATTTTTTATTGTTGCTTTTTTTATACAAATGCTATATAAAAAAAATTCCTTTATATTTTTTAATTAAATAAAATAAAGAATAAAAATTATATAAATATATATAATTTTATAATTTTTTATAAATATATTTATTATATTTATATCATTTTGTTTTATTTTTTTTAAAATTAAGTTTGTATTTTCATAACAATTAATAAAATAAATAAAAAATATACAAAAAAATCAAATAATTAATAAAAATATAAAATGTAGAGAATGAAATACAAATATAAAAATAATATTTATACAATTAAAATGAAACATATTTATTTATAAATATAAATTACCGCTATAAAATTAAATAAATATGAATTTATGTAAAAATATATATAAAATTTACCAAATAAATATTTTTTATAATTTTTCTTTTTTTTAATAAATAAAATTAAAAAATATAAAAGTATATACTTTTATATTTATTTTACTTAAATAAAATAATCCTTATATGAAATATTTTATCCGCCGACTTATGTAAGTATAATCAAGCATTAATACTTTTTAAAAGTGTAAAATATTACAAATTTTAGTTAGTTTAGATAAAAAAATATCAATATATAATATTAATTTTTTATAAATAAGTTATTTTAATTTAATTTTTTAAATAATTTATGATAAAATATTTAAATTAATATCATTTAGATATTAATAAAATATTTAAACTTTTCTTTTTATTTATCAAAATATAAATTTATATAATAAAAGTTAATTAATTATGCAATTGCAAAAAATATGTATTTAATTTAAATTATTTTATAAGTGTTTTTTTTTACTTATTAAAAATGAAATAAATATGCAATATTAGAATTTTATAAAAAAGTATAAATGAAGTAATTTGTTATCAAAAAATATAATAAATATAAATATATATAGTGATAAAATTTGTTAAGTTTATGTATATTATATCTTATAATATTTAATCAAAAATAAAATTAATGTATAAATTATAAAATATTTTTTAGTTAAATTAAATATAAAATAAAAATATATTTATATTAATATAATGATTTATTTAGTATTATAAAATTTTATTTTAGATAAAGATTTTTTTTATATTTAATAAAATAAAAAATAAGTAAATAAAATTAGCAAAGTAGTAATTATTAAATACAAAAAAAACAAAATAATTATATTTATTTTTTTAAACATATATTTTATATATAATTAAAATTATATAAATAAATTTTATATTTATAAAATTATTTATTTATTTTTTAATTTATTTTTTTATTTATTAAATAATAAATAATAAATAATATATAATAAATCAAAAATAATAAATAATAAAAAATAAATTATAAAAAATAAATAATAAATAATAATAATAAATTTTTAATAATTAATAATAAATATAAATAAATATTAATAAATAATAATTAATTAATTTTATATAATAAATGAATAATATATGAATAATATAAAGATAAAAATAAAAATATTATTTCTATAATCTATCATTATTTTTTTATTTTTTTTATATTTTTTTTTAATACTTTTATTTTTTTCTTATTTATTTATATATTTTTTATTTTATTTATATTAAACTATATATTATATATATATATATATATATATTTTATATGTATTTTAAATTTTATTTTATTAATCAATTTTTCAAATACATATAAATTTTTTTTAATTGCTTTAATTATTAGCAATATTTCAAATATAATTTTTTTTTTACTTTTATATTTAATATAATTTTTTTTATTCATAATATTTTTTCTAATATTGAAGCAATAATTAAAAATATAGCATTTTAACAATAATTAATAATATTTCCGTTATTTTTAGTACTATATTTTTAAACTATACTAATGCCATTATTTGTATCTCTATCTCCATTATTTATTATTATACCTTAATTATCTTTTTCTTTTTAATCACTATCTATATCATCTATTGTATCTTTTTCATTATTTATATTACTATCCCTTTTTTTATTGCACTTTTCATTTAAATAATAATAATTTTTATTATCACATTCATAACATTCTTAAGAAGAACAACGTAAACAACCTTTTTGACATTCCATACATTTTTATTTATTATAATCAGGATAATAAGTATCAGGACAACTTTATACACATCTATTCTTATATAATAAGTATTGATGAATACATTAAATACATTAATATTTATTATTAATTTAACATTTTAGACAATAATGAACTTCACATGTTTTATTAAAGCAATTGTCAACATTTTTATCAAGTTCCCAACCGTTATTAGTATCACAATTATAACATGTATTTTGTTAATAACATTAAAGACAGCCTCTATTACATTATAAACAAATACTTCTTTCTGTTGTTGTATGTAAAGGACATGAATTATAACATTTATTTTTATAATAAAAAATATGAGATGATTTACATTTAGTAATCGGAACACATTCTCTTTTTTATATATCTTCAAATTAAGTTTAAGAACATTAATAAACACATTTTCCTTCTTATAAAAATAATCCAATTTTGCAAGAAAGACAATTCCTTAAATCACTAGAGCATTTTTAGCAATCATAAGGACATTTAGAACATTAATCCCCTTTTTTTACATATTATTAATATTCATCACACTCTGCACATATAGTTAATGATATACATTATTTACATCCTATAATTTCGCATATTTAACATGTTTTATTTTCTATATTAGCGAACGTTCCTTCTGGGCATTAATTAGCAACAACGCATTTACCAGTTTTTAAATTAAGGAAAAATTAGTTTTTACATTCAGTACATTCTTCATGAACATCATAATAACATTTCTCACATTCTTACTAACATCCTTAACTGACTGATTTTACACATGTGTTTTAATTTACTAATTAGAAGTCATTACTACATTATTTTACACATTTTCCTTCTTCTAAATATGCCAAAAAACCGCATTTTAAACAATCATTCTTTGAAGGACCAGAACATTTTATACATGAAATATCACATTTAGCACATATATTATTTATTTTATCTTAGAAATAACCAATAGGACATTATTCTCTACATACTTTATCAGGATTTGCAAATTTACCTTTGGGACATTATTAAATGCATTTTTAGGAATTTTCATCTTAAAAAAAATATTTACACCATCTTTATTCACTATCACAATCAGAACCCGTCCATCCAAATACGCATTAACATTATCCATTTATACATATACCCTTTCGAGAACAATAATTAGGACATTCAGGAGTATAACTACAAAATTCTCTTAAGTTATTAGGACAAGTAATGTAACCGAATTCTGGTTATCCATTAACGACTTAAATTTATTTACCTTCATCTTATCTTTTACAGACTAACTTTTAAAATTTCAAGTTAGGAAAATCTATAGTAACGTAAGTAAAATCAGGAGAACATTTAACACTATGACAACGAGTTTTTTTACTTTAATCAATAATATATCCATCATTAGCAGTAGATTGAAAGCATCTTGAATTAACTCCATAATATTCCAATCTTAAGTCATCATAATTAGTTTTTTTTGAATAATCTTCGCAAAAAACTTAATTGTTAATTTTTTTACAATTATCCATGAAACTACTTTCATTAACTTCTCCATAACCATCGTTTTTTGAAGAGCATTATCCAAGAGAATATTCTATTTGACTAAACTCAGGATAATAAGTATCAGATTAACATGCTCTAAGAACAAAATCGCATCCTTTATTTCTTCCCCATTATATATTATTAATCATACTTTCATTTACTTCAGCATAATAGCCAGTATCTTTTAATACAGCAATAGTAAAAATAGACAATATAGATTCCCTTTAAGAAGACTCAGCAGTCATTAATTCATCAAAAAGGATTGTTTATTCCCAATGAGAACCAATAGAATTAATATCACCATCGTTTTCTAATTACATTCCTTCTAAAGTAGGACATCCATAATATTTTCTAGCAGTAGCAAGCACATTTGGAGTAGACATGATAATAGTTTGTTTACTTCTTATAGTAACTGTTTTTATATAATTATCTATTTCATTACCATAATAATCTCCGGTTAAAGGATTTATCCAATGTCTATATAAGCCTTTTGAAAATCCTAAAATATGCAAAAATTCATGCAAAATATTATTAAAATCACTTTTGAATCCAGAATTAGTATTATTCTAATATAGTCTTCCCATATTTACCATAATTAAACCAAAATTAACCCTTTTTAAAGCCGCATCTATTTAGCAATGAACAGCATTAGCTAAAGTAGAAGAATCTGGATTATCATTATAAACAACCCAAATATGGATATCAGAATTTGTCTCACCATCTATTCTTTATTTTACAGGAACATTTATATTATAACATTATTTACTATTATATATATTAGGCCCTAAAGCAGGAACTACTTTTAATAGTTTTTACAAATATACTTAAATATATTACATCATCTATTTTAATTGATCTTTTTAAAGATCAGTTATATTATCAACCATTTAGTTAAATAAACTATAATCCATAGTAACTCTTATAGGTTACACTTACTAAGGTAAGTTAATCTGTAAATTTCTTTTTTCTGGGTTTTTAGAACTCCTTCTTTGAATATACTTTTTGTTTATTCTATTTGGTTATTTATTTCTGAAAAATCAAATTCAGTATCATGATTACATACATGATTATAAACTCCTTAGATAACTTAGGAAAGTAATACTATTAATAAAATTATGTTTTTAATATTTTTTGAAAATTTCATTATATTTTATAATATGTATTAAAATATTATTATATTTATTTTTATTTAACCTATTTATCTAAAATAAATTATTATATATGATAATTTATTTAATAATACAAATTTATATATTTATATACTTAAGTACAAATAAAAAAATTATTTTTTAAATAAATTTATATTTATTACCATTTTTTATATATGATTTTAATTTATAAATTTTATACATTTATTTATTTATAAAAAAATATAAAATATAGAAGTTATAAATATATTTGAGATATTATAAAAAATTATAATATATTATAATATATTAACTTTATATAAAAAAATAATTTTTTATATTTAGGTTATATTTATATAATTAAAAAAATATTGATTTTTCATTTAAGTAATAATAAAATAAATATTGATTTTTTATTTAATAAAAATTTAATTAATTTTTTGGATTTTAAATTAATTATATAAAAGAATTATTTATTTTATTATGAAACCAAAATTATAATAATAAATTATTAAATAAATACTTTTAGAAATTCTCTTAAAAATATAAAAATAAAATCTAAAATCATACTTACAAAAAAAAAAGAAAATATTATTTTAAAGATAATGTTAACTCATAAAATACTTTTTTTAATTATAATAATAATGACATTCTATTTTTCTTAGATTAAATAAATAAAAAAAATGTGTTTAATATTTTAATATTGATTATTATTATAATCATTAATATTTATTTAAAATGTTTCTTTTTTATAAATAAAAAAATTATTTATGTCTAAATAACAATTAAAAGGTTATTCTTTTGTTGTCGGCCATACTAAGGTGAACACACCGGATCCCATTCGAACTCCGAAGTTAAGCGCCTTAAGGCTCGGTTAGTACTAAGGTGGGGGACCGCTTGGGAAGTCCGAGTGTCGACAGCCCTAAATATGCTTTTTTTTTAATATAAAAATATAAAAAATTATTATTAAAAACTAATTTTTTTTAAAAAAAATTATATAAAATTAGAAAATATATTAATTTTATATTTATTTTAGTATAATTAATATGTTTATAAATAAATAAATATATGTTTGAATTTTATATAAATTTATATTTATAAAAAACAAATAACATTTAATTATTATTTTAGGTTTTATTTTATAGTTAAATCTTTATATAGTCTTTCCTTTCACAAATTTAAAAAAATTAAAAATAAAAACAGATTCAATATATTTTAATAAAATTTTTTATATTTTAATTAAATAAAAAAATCTTTAATTAAATAAAAGATTAAATTAATAATTATATATAATAGTATAAAATACACTTAATAAGGAAAATCATTACCGGAAACACTATTTCTATTAATTAAATTTATTAATTATTATTTTTTATATAAAGTAAATTTTCCCTCTATTCATATTACGTAAAATCTATCCTTAGTTTTCTGATTTATTTTATGTTCTCTAACTAATTAAAATCCATAACTATATTATTTCAAAAACTTCTTTATTCTAGATATGTCGATAAAACTATATTCTAAACAGTCGCTTTTTGAAGGAACATGAAAATTATGAATAACAATATTAAAGAAATCGTCTTTTTTAGTTTTCTTAATAAAATCCATTATAGATAATTTTCCTTAAGGACATTATTAAATACATTATTTCGGATTGTCTATTAAAATAAAAGAAAGACAATTTAAAATTTAGAAATTTCAATCATGTCCTCCTGTCCATTATATCCTAAAATACCATTTTAAGAAGAATAATTAAGGTATTCAGGAGTAAATAAATCTACAATATTTTTCTCAAGTTATCAGGGCATTAAATGTAAGTCATATTAAGGTTTTCCTTAAAAAAATTAAACTTAATGAAAACAAGAATTTGCTCAATAATATTGACTATTTTTCCATCATTAATAATGGCTTTCAAATTAATACATATACAGGAAATTTCTTTTAGTAATTTTACAAAATAAATAGTTATATATTCCATTATTTTTATAAATTATTGTCTTAATTCATTAGTTATATAGTATAAATTATAAATAAATACTTATTCATAGTTAATCTAATAAATTTAGCTAGATAATGATTATTAATTTATAAAAGTCTTTTATTAAGTTCTTATAATCCTTAAAGTTTACTTTTTATTTCGATTTGATTGTTTAATTTTAAGAAACAAAATTAATTATAATGATAATATAGACTTTTAAAAATTTGAGTATTAAATTTTTCTAATATACTTATTTGTTGAATATCATATTCTTTTATTATTATATTTTATTGTTTTAAGTTTACATATACATATTAAACTTTAATTCTTTTGTAAATGTTTTTATATTGTTTTTAATCAATAAAATTAATATATTTTTAAATATATAAATTAAAACTTTTTCACAAAAGTATTATTGAAAAAGTTTAAAAAACACAAATATAATTTATATTTTATATTAATTAATAAATATATTAATATTAAAAGCTATAATAAATAATATAATTAAATATATTATTCTATAATTATATATATATAGTTTCCTATATATTTCTAAAAATCAACTGTAAATTAAATACTTTTTATTTATCTAAAAGTCTAAAACTTAATATACATCAAAAACGTATAAATTTAATAATATATAATTGAATATTAAATAGAAGTTAAATTAATTACTTTAACGATATTTATTAACTATTAATATAGTTCAACTTTACTTAAAATTGCAAATTATTTTGATTTTAACTAATTATAATTTAGAAATAATATTTTACAAATTTATTATTTACACAAACATTAAAAATTAATTTAATTATAAAAAAAAATTCTAATTCTAATTATTATTAATATATAATAAAAAATATAAAACATTATTATAATAAATTTAAAATATTATTTAAATAAAAAAAGATTTCTTTGATTTTTTAAAAATATATAGTAAAGTTATAAAATTAAATTAATGTAAAAATAAATTATAATAATTATAATTTAAAAAAAAAAATATAAAATAAAAAAAAAAAAATATAATAAAGTAGTAATATAATTTATAAAAAATAAAATTAAATTAAAATTATATCAAATATTAAAATTTTTATTATTTATGTTTCTTTAGATTTCATTACATTCAATTTTAATATTTCCAAAATCAAATAAAAATGAAAATTTTTTATTAAAATTTTTTATTTTAATATTTTAAAAATCTTTTTTATAATAAATAAAAAATTAAAAAATTAAATATATATAAATATTAAAATAAATATAAATATATATATTTATATAAATATATATATATATATATTTTTTTATATTTTTTATACCTTATAATTTTACATCTTCATTTTATCCTTATTAAAATATATATCTTATTTCATCTTAAATACTAAATAGATTTTTAATATGTTTTTATATAAAAAATATGCTATCTTCACTTTAAAATATATCTTCATTTTCATTTTTTCTTATTATATTTATTTATTTTTTATTACAAATTATTTTTATATTTACTTTACTATTAAATATGTTAGTATTTTCATTTTATTAAAATCTTATTTTTTCATTATTTAATATATTATCATTTAAATTATTTATATAATTTTTTTCTTAATTTTATTATAGTGTTTTATCTTTATTTTCAATATTTTTATTTTTATATTTTTCTTTTTCATTCAAATTATCATCATTTAACGTATTTTTATATTATTTTTCTAAAATGCTTTTTATTATTTCAATATTTTTTTTATTATTACTATTATTATTTTTTTCCCAAATAATTTTCTTATTTTTATCTAAAAAGCTATTATTTTACTCTAAAATTTCTTTATTTTAATTATTAATTTCGCTGTTTTAGTTCTAAAAGCCTTTGTTTTCACCTATATTTTAATCATTTTAATTTATAATAAAATTATTCTAAGTTAAATATTCTTTATTTTAATTTTATAAATCTTTATTTTTATTAAAAAAATCATAATTTTTATCAAAAAGCTCTTTATTTTTTTACTAAAAAATATTTTAATTTTCTTATGTTAAAATATCTTGAGAACTTTTTTTTTAATTTTTTTACAAATCCGCCTTTTTTTAATTTTATTTTTTGGAAAAAACTCATTGATTTTTTTTGTATTTTCTATATCTTTTTTTTTCACCTTTTTTTTCTCATCTTTTTTCCCTGGACTTCCTATTTTTAAAAATTCTCCTCCACAGTTTTTTTAGTGTTCTTAAAACCAAGGATCAGCTTTTTACGGCGGACGATTAACCGCTCTTTTACATATTCCATAAAAAGGGGGTTTTTAAGCACAAATCCCATTACATTTCCACACATGTTGCCTATATAATTCCACTTCATCATGAAAACTATGATAAACAGTTACATTTAGTCCAGTAATATTATTTACAGAGTGCATAATATCTTAAAATGCTTTACCATGACCTCCTTCTGTCAAACAGCTTTTAGGATTTGTAATAAAAAGGTAAGCATGTATCATTTCATGCAGAAGAGTTTCCTTTATTTCATTAGAATTCCTAAATTATAAAAGAGATTCACTTAAAGTTATCGTACATGTATCTCCATATTCCTTTTTGCAAGTTCCAGCACATAAAGTCATCCTTTTACTCCATTTTAATTCGCAAAACTGTAGTGTTTTTTAGAAAAAAAACTCATCATAATAGCTAAATAGTGTATATACATTTGGTATTTATAAATTGTTTTTTGAATAAAAAAACTCTTCTTAATTATCCATTTTTTTTTAAAAAAAACTAAATATATAAATATATATATAAATATATATATATATATATATATTATTTTTATTAAAATTTAAAAATTTTTAATAAGAAAATAAATTAATATATATATTATTTTTATATACATAATTTTTTTATACATAATTTTAATTTTATTAAATAATTAAATTGTTTTTTTTTTCAAAAAATTAGGCTTTTTAGGAAAATTTTAGCCTCATTTTCTTCACAAAAAGCTTGGTTTTCAAACCATTCATGTTCTAATATATTTTCTATCGAAATCCTATTTTCAGGATCAACACAAACCATTTTATTGAATAAATTCTTGAAATCTTCACTGACTTATATTTTATATTTTTATTAAATCATATCCCAATATTCACTTATTTTTTTTTAGTAAAAAAACTTATAGTAAGGATCATTTTCTGTGGCCTTGAAAAATGGAGGAATGCCTACAACTATGCAAAAAAGAAGTACTCCTGAAGCAAATATATCTACTTTTTGACCTTAATAGGGAGTTTTCTTTTCTATTTCGGGTGCCATATACCCTTAGGTGCCCATATATTTATCAAACTTTGCATCAGTGTCTTTAATTTTTGCGGAAAATCCAAAATCAGCAATTTTTAAATCTAAGTTTTAATCAAAGAGTATGTTTTCGAGTTTAATATCCCTGTGTACAAAATTATTATCATGAATAAATTTCAAAGTAGAAGCAATTTTGAAAAAGAAAAATTTAGCATATTTTTCTGGAAATCTTTATTTACTAACAAAATCGAAAAGTTCACCAAATTACATATATTCTAAAAGAATAGATTTTTCATCAAAATCTAATAAGTTAATAATATGAGGATTTTTATTTTAGAGTGTTTTTAAAGCGAAAATTTCTTAGCTTTTTTCAACATTATTAGTTAATTTATGATATATTTTTATTGCGTAATTTTATTAAGTTTATTTATTTTAAGCCAGTTTTACTATACAAGTCTAACCTTGACCGAGTACTTTTGTTATTTATAAGTTTTTTATTAATTAACCGTCCATTTTATATTTTTTTTAGTTTTTTTTTTAAATTATTTTGTTTTTTGATTTTTTTTTTTAATTTTTTTGTGTAGATTATTTTTATTAAAATATTATTTTTTATTATAATTCTTCTTTTTTTTATTGTTTCTAGTTGATTAATACTGATAAATTCTTAAGGTTATTAATAAAAGATTTAACCGGTAAATAATTATATATTATAGATATACATAATAATAAGGTTAAAAAAATTAAAAAGATTTATGCTATTATTTATTTATAAAAAATAATTTAATTATAAAGTACAATATATATAATTATTTAATATAATATATAAATTTATTATATTTTATTATTTGTAAATTATTTATAATTATAATCTTATTTTTAATTAAAATTTTTCATAAAAACATTTTAAAGTTTTTAATTAATAAAAAAATTTAAAGAATTCATTTTTATTTTTATTTGAAAATTAATATTTATTTTATTAAATAAATAAAGTAAAAAATAGTTGATAAATTTTTATAACTTAAAAAAATAATAAATATTTAATGTATAATTTAAAATTATTTATATTTAATTATATAATATATTTAATATTTTATATAATAAATTTGTTTTGATAATATTTGGATCTTTTTTTTTTTCATAATTAATTATAACTAAATAAAATTTCAATTATATATTTTATATTTAAAAATAAATAATTCAATTTAAGATTTTAGAATTAATAAAAAGTGGCTATAATAATAAAAATATTTAATAAGTGTGATATAATCTATATATAAATATTATAAAATATATATAAAATACTTAATATAAAAAAAATTATCATAATAATTATTGATGCTTCATTTATTTTTATAATTTTTGATTTTCTTTTTAATATTTATTAAAATTAATGATAATATATTAATTATTTGTATAATCATAATGTTTTTATAAGAAGTAATTATTAAACTTAAAATTATTATTGTAATAAAAATACTAATATAAAAAATATAATTTTTTGTTTTTTTTATTTATATTTCAAATTCAAATTAATAAAGCTAATAAAGCTAAAAATCCGTAAAACAATTTAACTCCAAAAGCAGATTATTTATCAGATTCAGAATTGTCAGTAAGTTAAGCCTAATTAATATTTGCTCTTAAAATTTTAACAATTTTATCACTTGAAGTTTCTAAATTTCTTAAAGCTGTTCCAGAATCTTTTTATAAAGAAATTTTCATGCTAACTTCAATATAGGCATTTACTTAGGGTTAGAATAATAAAATATCAACATCAACAATACCTGGTAACTATCTAATAGTTGAATATTATATTCCGGCTTAATAAGTGTAGATACCTCTATCATCAGAGAATTTAACACCGACAACACTTAAGAATTTTTTATAAGTATTGTCTACAAATTCAATTCTTACAAACATGTGTTATCCAACAATGTAACTAGGACGAACATTTGGATCATAGAAAGTGTCACAAGCGTTAGTTTTACATATAGAACCTTTAGTATCTAAGTCAGCAACAACAATACATTATTATCCTTTATCACAACCTTCAGTAATTTATTTGCTTACATCTAATACAAATACTTCATATTGATCTCTATTGGTGAAGATTCTCATTTCGAATTTATGCAATCTAATAACTGCTGATGAGTTAGAGAATTAAATGGCCATACATAATCTTTAGTAAATATTTCTTTCTTCAACTGATTAGATTGAGGTTAATTAATAAATCTCAATAAGAGGAATTTTTAATTTTGTTTAAATTTTGGATACATTGGTTACATATTATGTATATTTATCTAATTTAACATAGTCTCCATTACAAGAGCTTGAAATTTATAATTCTGTTTATAATTATTCCTTACATTATGGTTCAAGGTCTACATTAGAGATTTATCTCCATTCGTAATTAATTAAATTTTCTACAGAGGTAGCTTAAGTATCAGAATTAACTGTGAAACTACAGTTTGATACTACTACCATATTTACGATTTAGTTGAATAATTACCAGTCACATTTAGGAACAACTTTGAAATCTTCAACAGGTTCACATTACCAAGGAAATCCTTTCTTCTTACGATATTAAGGAGAATTACATACACAATAGTCGTTTTCAACCATAATCGCCATATTAGGTTCCCTGCACCTTCTGCAGATAGCACAACTTTCACATTTTCCATCTGAGTATTCACAGTGGCATGAAGGATGACATTTACTTGGAACACATGATTTTTAAATTGGATGCCATATTTATCCAGGAGGGCATATAATAGGATCAACATTAGATGGATTACAACTTAGTAAATATTTAGGTTATAAAATTAAACCAGTAAGAGGATCTTTTTAATATACAGCTGTATATTCAGGATCAATACAAACACAAATTGTTTATCCAGTAATATCGTCTTTTCCTGACACAGCACCACCTGTAACTCCATTACAATCTTATTAGGAACCTTCAGGAATACATTAACCATTAAATAAGAAGTAAGGAGAATTACACTCACAAGTAAGCTTATTGGCAGTGTAATTTTAAGAACATTCGCACTTATCTCCATTTTATACAAATGGTGAAGCACAAACACATTAACCATTTAAAGACTAGTAAGGAGCAAGACATGAGCAAGTCCTTTAATTTACTCTTGTATAAGGAGAAGGGCAAAGACATTAACCATCGTTATTAAGTTTGAAAGGTGCAGGACAAATACATTATCCTCCAATAACAATAAATGGAGCAGGACATTCGCACTTATCTCCATTTTATACAAATGGTGAAGCACAAACACATTAACCATTTAAAGACTAGTAAGGAGCAAGACATGAGCATGTTGATTAATCTACTCTTGTATAAGGAGATGGGCAAAGACATTAACCATCGTTATTAAGATTGAAAGGTGCAGGACATATACATTATCCTCCACTAACAATAAATGGAGCAGGGCATTCACATTTATCTCCATTTTACACGTATGGTGAAGCACAAACACATTAACCATTTAAAGACTAGTAAGGAGCAAGACATGAGCAGGTTGATTAATCTACTTTTGTATAAGGAGATGGGCAAAGACATTAACCATCCTTATTGAGATTGAAAGGTGCAGGACATATACATTTATCATCACCTTAAAGTTAGAAAGGTTTAGGGCATTCACAAGTATTATTTTCTATATTCAATATAAAGTTATCTTAACATTTTATACAAATATCATCATCAATTTAGCATTGGAAACAATTACTATGACACTTAGGACGTTTTCTACAGATCAAAGAACTATATGGTTTAGGTCTTAAACGAAGGGGCAATTCTACATATTCATTATCACAGACACAAGTATTATTTTCATAACTGAAATAAGTGTAATCCCCAGGACATTCACATTAGCCACTTTTCTCGTTGAGCTTACTATTTCCTTAGCATTCACATATTCCTTTTTTTTAATTGAATTGCATTCTATCTGGGCATACGCATTTATCTAATTTATCATTATAAACTAAATCATCAGGACATTAACAGTTTAATCTTTAAAATTTACCAGATGATATTTAATTATCTGAACCTTTTTAAGGAACGAAACCTGGTCTGCATTAACATTTATATTCACCTTTAATTCTCTCTGCAAAGTTACCTCTGCAACCACAGTATTCTTTATTTATTTTATCAGTAGCTTCATTCAAAAGTTCAGTATCGTTAGGGCATTAGCAATTAATTCTATCTTCTGAAAGTATTAATGGTGCTAAACATTTACCTTCATAGCCACATACTATTCTGAAATCTCTGAAACCCCAATAGGTGTTTTCGGGGTTGAAATTAGCAATTAATTTTACAGTGAATTTGGAAGATTTAGGTGTGAAAATTTCATCAAGAGGAATCATGTAAGTGTCGATGTTTTTAGCAGCTAAAGGATCACAACTTTCTAATTATATTCTTCCGGAATCAAATAATTATTAGTAGTTTTATCCGTATTCATAAGAGAAAATTACTGCATCATCAATTAAAACTTAAAATAAGTGACCTGGTAAGAAATTTCCTAAGGCTAAACTTAATTAGAAATTGCATTAAGTAGGAGTTCCTTTATTATCATTTATATTACCACAATCTCTTTAAACATTAACCAATTTGTATTCATAATATTTATTTATTACTCCATTATTTTCTAATTTACTATGACATTTTGAATCTTATTTTGCTTATTTTTCAGGTAAAACATTAATATTCCATACCCCAAAACCCTCTCCACTACATATTACTTATTTTCCAGATGGTGGTTCATAAACAGCAGTTAATAATGGTTCTTCTGTAGATAAATCTACAGGTCCAGATTAATAAGATAATACTACTAATAATATAAAGAATAATGTTTATAGAAATTTAAATTATTTCATTATTTTTTTATTAATATTTTAGTTAAAATTAAAAATAATTATAATATTAATATTTAAATTATTTAATAAAGTTATGTGATAAAACGGTTAAGTATTATTAATAAAAAAAATTTTAATAAAACGTAAATATAAAATATATATAAGTATTATATGAATATATAAATAAATAAATTTAATAATATATATATATATATATAAATATAAATATATAATATATTTTATATATAATTATATATTTATATAAATATTTTTTATTTTTTTATATATTTTTTATTATAAATATGTTTTTTTTTTTTAAATAATTAAACAAAATTTAATTATTTTTTGTACATTTAACTATATTTAAATTCGTCATTAAATAAATATAATAAACTTATCTTTTTTTTAATATATATGTTATAATATTAAAATTTTTTTCTTTTAATTACTAAAATTGTTTGTTCAAAATAATTATTATATTTTAATAATAAATAATATTTATTTAAAAAAGAAAAACATATAAAAAAATTTTAAAAAAACTGAAATATTAATAAAATTAATATTATTTATTTACATATATAAATATTAAATTAATATAACATTTATAATTTGAATTAACTCTATATTTTTAATATTTAAAAATAATATTTTAATAATAATTATTATTAAATATAATATAAATAAATAGATATATATTTAAAAAGAAATTTTTTCACATTATATTAGATATATAAAATTTATAATTTATATTACATAAATTTTTATTTTATTATTTTTTTAACTAATTTATTTATATATTTTAAAATTTTTATTTTATTATTATTTCTATTAATTTCTATTTAAAAATTAGTTATATTTTTGTTGTTGTATTTTTTTAATTAAGAAATTCATTATAAATTTGAAAAAAAACTTAATATTAAAAAGAATTCAAAAAAATAATAACTATATTTCTTTTGATTATTAGCATTTAACAATTAAAAATAGCTTTTTAAATATCTATTTAATTTTATTTTATATATTTAAAAATTTTGATTTTTTTTTAAAAAAAAATATATCCCATTACATTCAAGATTTCTTAAATGAATTTTATAGAAAATATTATATTAATTATATAATATGATGTATAAATTTTTTAAAAAAATATATATTTGTTATCATAAAAATAGATATTTATAAAATATTTCAAGAATAATCTACAAAAAATAAAATAAGTAAAATTTTATAGCATTAGTAATAAAAATTTTATTTAAAATATAAATAATATATCAATATTCTTATATAAAAGAAATGCAAAATATATAAAACATGCTTTTATATGTATAAATAAATTTGTTTTATTATTAAAAATTATATTCTAGCATAGTCATCATATATAAATAATCAAAATTTTAAAAAGAAAACATTATCAATTTTTTTATACTTTATAAATATGAAAAAAAAAAAAAAAAATTAGAATTAAATATTAAATTAATTGTATTTATTAAATGATTTTTAAATTATATTTTTTATATAAATAATCCTGAAAATATGTATAAATATAAAAGAAAACCAAAATAAATATATATAAATTAAATATAAATATTTAAATATATAATAATAGTATATTATGTAAAAAGAAATATATATTATTTGATTAATACATTTAAATTAAAAATTTCAGTTTTTATTTCTTTTTTAAATAACATATATATATATATATTATAATAATGATTTTTTAATTAATTTATTTAAAAAAATCTTCTTAATATTTTAATAAAAATAAAAATTATGTCAAGATTTTTTTAAAAAATTAAACTCACAATTAAGTATAAGCTTAATTATACGAAATACATTTAATTCACCCTGAAATTATCATAAATAATATTTTTTTTATTATAATGTTAAAAAAAATAAAAATTGAATTTTTAGAATATTCTATATTTATAAAAATAAAATGTATATAAGTTTATTTATATATATATATATATATATGTTTGTATATAAGAGCATTATAAATAAATTTTAAGAAACTAATTTATCTGATTTTAAAAAGTTATATATTGAGATAAAAATATAGGAGTTTTATAAATATTAGGATATAAATACAATATTTATAAATTATTGTTTAATTAATAAATCAACTCTGATAATTATTAAAATTTAAATAATTGCTTTTATTAAATTATTTAAATCAAATTAATATAAAAAGTTATAATGGTATATCAAAAAAAAGTTATTTTTTATATAAAAAAACATAAACCACTTAAAATTAAATTAAAAAAAATAATATTGCAGAATAGGTATAAAAATATAAAATTAATAAAATAAAATATTTTTATAAAAAATAATAGTATTAATATTATTTAATATAATTTAAATACTAATATAATAATGAAGATAAATAAATAATAATAAAAAAAAAATTGAAAAGAGATAAAAACTTAATGAATTATATTTTATAATTTAAATTAATAATAATAAAAAAAAAAAATAGTATATAAATTTTAGTAGATTTTAAATATTAAATTTAAATATATAAAAAAATAATAATTATAAATAAAATTACATATATATAAAAAAAAAAATTAATAGATATAGATATATAAATATATAAATATATAAATATATATATATATAATTATTTATTTATTTATTTATTTATTTATTTATTTATATCTATATATTATTATAATTAATTCTTTTACTTATATAATTTTCTTTTTAATATTATTTTATATAATTATATAAATCTTTTGTAATTTTAATTTTATTTTATTTTCTTTTATTTTTTAATATTTTACTTATTTATATATTTATATTTTTATTTTTTTTATTTATTTATTTTTTTACTTTTCTTTTAAAAACATATTATATTTTTATAAATTAGTATATTATTATATTATTTTTTATATCATATATATATTTTTTACTATTTATTATAATATTTTTATATTTAATTTCAATCTCTCTTGTTTTCATGATATTTTTATTAATAATTATATAAATATTATAAAAAAAATATATTTAATATAATAGATATTATTTTTAAAATTATGAATATAAATAAATTTGATAATATATTTATTTATTTATTTCTTTTTTTTTTATAATCAAGTTTTTTTAAGCCTTATTATTTTATTTTTTATAGCTTATTTATATAGATATTTTTTTTTTATATTTTTATAACCAATACATTTTTTTATCTTTTTAATATTTATTTTTCTACTATATACCTGAAATTTTTACTATATACATTAATTTAGTGATTTTAAGTCAATTAAGATTTAAAACTAGTCTATGAAATCTTCTTTTTCCATATATAAATATATTTTAAATATTTATTATATAAGAGAAAAAATCTCAATCATCTTATTTAAATTCAACAAGTTTTAAGTAATTAGTTTTTATTTTTTTATTTTTTTATTTTTTCTGAATAAAACCGAAATCTATTCTCTAATTTATAATATTTTATTAAATCATACTGTTTTTTTATTTTTCAAATCAATATAGTTATTATGTTTTTTAATATAAAAAACCAAATTTTCTTTATTGAATACATTTATTTATTTTAGCTTTTATAAAATTAAACTGTTATTTAAAACTCTAATATATATATATATATATATTATATCTTTTTGACTTAAACTAATATTATATATTATTTAAAAATATTTTTATTTTATAATATAAAATTTCAGATTTGATTTATATTCTTTTGCAAATTTATTTGTTTTTTATTTAATATATTTATTAATATATGTGTACTTATTTTTATTTAATCTATATTTTTTTCCAAGTTATGACTTTTATTTAATACTCTTTTCATAAATAAATATTTTGGATATTTATTTTATTGAACTTAATAACTAAAATGTATTTAAATTTTAATACTTTTAAGACAAAATATTGATAAATGGTAATAATAATTTATATTAACTTATGTTAAAATAATGTAAGAATGTAAAAACTTAAATTAAAAAAATAAAAGATGAAATAAAAAATATTTAATAATATAAATTATTCATTTATATTTATTAAAAAAAATATTATTAGATATTAATTTTTATATTTATATTTTAATATTTTATCTAAAATTATATCTGAAATATTTTTATTATTTAAAAAAAATTAATATAATTCAAAAAAAAATGTTAAATAAATATCAATATTCTTAATTTATTTTCTTAAAAATATTAAATTAAGAAGATTAAATATAAAATATATTATTAAATAATTTTCAAAATATAAATGATATTAATTAAATCATAAACATTATATTTTAAATTATTATTAAAATTGAAGAAAATAGTCAAAAATAAATAAATATTTGCAACGTTTTGTAATTTTCTTCTTAAAAGACTAAATATTTAATAGAAGTCTTTTTTAATTTCATCAAAGAAAAAATAAATATTAACAAATTAACTTATTTACAACAAATAAAATTATTAAAAATGATTAACATTTCTTAAAATCAAGACTATTTATTTAATTAAATCATAAAATAATAAATATAAATATTTGATGATTCCGAATAATAAAAAGATACTATTTTCTTAGAAAAAGTAGCGAAATTATCAGAATTAATATTTAATTATATAAAAGAAAAATAAGCAAATAATATATAGGAAAATAATAAAATTTTATACTCATTTTAATTATAAATACTAAATATAGTTGAAAAAAAATTTATTTAAGTAATAACAATAAAGTAAGAAGTATTTTATAAAAATTTACAATAAATAAATAATGAAAAATATATTAATTATATTTTTTGTTATAATATATTAATATATTTAAAATTAATTTCAAATGATGAAAGCTTTTAAATAAATAAATAAATTTTTAACTTTTTAAATTAATTTAAGATAAACTATAATTATAAAGAAGATAAAATAATACTAAAAATAACAAAGTATTTTCTTTTATAGAATGATGATTTGTTTTATTATTATATTTCTGAGTTTATTATAAATTTCTTAAAAAATAAATATGATGTAATAAAACTCATATAAAAAGCCGATTAAGAAGTAATTTTGAGTTTAATTATTACTCAAAATAAATGGGTTTAATTATTAAAACCTTTTGCAATAATGAAATAAAATAATAAAAAAGATATTTTAATAAAAAAAATATTATAATTATGAATAACTTTATAATATATTTATTTATATGTATATATTTATATTTATATATATATATATATATATATTTATATATATATATTTATATTTATATAATTATATTTATATTATATATATTATTTTTATTTCTATTTAAATTTTTTTTTTTTTTTCATATTTAATTATATAAATAAAAATTATCTATTCTTTTTTTAATTATATAATTTTTTTATTTTTCTTTAATAATATATTATAAAAAATTTTTATTATTAATTTATTAAATTTAATAATAATTTTTTTTTAATTTTTTTTTTAATTTATTAAATTAAAATTTATTTATTTTTAAAAAATATTTATAAATAAAAATATTTAAATTTCAAGTTTAAATATTATTAAAATAAAAAAATATTAACTAAATAGTTATATTTCTTTAATTATCAATAATTTAAATATAATATCATGTATTTATCTGATTAAAATAATTATAATATATAAATTCCATAAAGTTTCAACACTAATAATATCTAACGTGTAACAAGCCCTTAAATAGAAGATATATATAAGTTAAAAAATCTTAGATTAGAACAAGAAGTTAACTAATTAACAAAAGAAAACGATCTATTAAAATAATAAATATAATAATAAAACTAAAACTAAAAGCTTATTCAATAGAAGATCTAAATATTAAAAAATGATAAATATTAAGAGTTATTGTAGTAAAGAGAAGAAATGTTACAGGACAATGAAGATTTAGCAAGAGGAAGTAAAGTTTTATAATAATAATTAGATAATATTGAGAGAAAATATTAATAATTACTAGATTAACATAATTAATTAATAATGAATTAAGGAAATAATAATTATTTCGATTTAAATTAAGTAAAGAGCAGTTATAAAAATGATCATTAAAAAATGGAAGTATTAAAACGTGAAGAAAATGCTTATTAAAAAAATAAAAATTAAATAAATTAACTTTATACATATTTAAAAGGATAAATTATTAAAAAAAATGAAGATTTAAATTATTTTTAATATATTTAAAATATGGAATAAATTCTGGATGAGGTTTTTTAAATTTCAATATAATAAAATGAATAACATGAAAAAATCTTTAAAATTTTACAAGAAAAATCCTAATAAAATATTTATTAAGAAAAAATATAATATGAATTGATGCCTATTTAAAATATTCAAATTGATTAAAATTCACATATAAATAATCATAAAAGTTAATAAGAAAATTATTAAAAAGAAAATAATAAATAAGAAGATGAATAAATATAATAATAATAGGATATTAATTTATCTTCTAAATATAAATTGGATGAATAAAACAGTTAAAAAATATAATAAAGCAATTAGAAAAATACGCTTTAATTGCCTCAAAAATAATAAGAGAAAACATAAAAAAAATAATAGAGTAATACTAAATTAAACTCGAAATCAAAACTGCAATAATCTTTGTCAGGAAGTAAGAATATAATAACTTCATTAAATAATTTATAAAATAGTAAGGAAAGAAAAACTAGTTAGAGTAAAACAAATATTAAAAAATCTTAATAAAAGATATGAAGAAAAAAAAATATTATATATATATATATATATATATATTATTTATTATATTTTTTATTATATATAATATTAATTTTTTATAAAATATTAAAACAAATAAACAAAGTAATCAAAATATAAATTATAATAAAAAAACTATAAAACAATAAAAAATTAAACTTAATCATTCTAATTTAAATGTTAATTTAATATTCATAGCCGCTAATTCATTTGCAAGATATCTTAAAACAAAAGGAATAACAACTTTTTAGCATTCTGATTCACTACATTTTCTACACTTTGCTTTTTATTTTTACTATCCCCTATTATAATTATAGAAATTATCTAAAGCCTCACCACTTAGTAAATTAGTAAATAAATAAGTAGAAACAAGTTATCCACAACTATTACATATATAGCCTTCTGAATAATCTGAGCAATTAAGAAATCTATCATGTACACAATAAGAAATACCATGAGATAATAAAGCATCTCTTTCCATTTCTCCCATTCTTATACCACCACCTTTTTTTCTACCTTTTATAGGTTATTAAGTTAACATATCTACTGGTCCAGTTGATCTAGCTTATGCTTTATCTGAAACCTAATTTAAATAAAAATATATTAATATAATAATATATTTATAAATAAATATATATTTATATAAATATATATATATATATAAATAAATTTATATATATATATAATTATATATTTATTTTTACTATTATTATTTTATTTATATTTAAATACCATATGACGTAATCTTTAATAATATACTAGTCCTATATATATATCCATTTTCATCATACATCCATATGTACCACTATACATGACTTCGTTTCCATAATAATTATATCCGTTATTTTTAAGTTATTATCCAAAATAACCAACTATATCATCATCTTCATAATTTTAGAATGGGTGAGTTTCTAATATGTTACCTTCTAAAGCCCCACTTTTTCCTGCCATGCTTTCAATTAACATTCCTATAGTCATTCTTGATGGGAAAGCATGCGGATTTATTATAACATCAGGAGTTATCCCAGATTCTGTAAAAGGCATATCTATATGAGGCCAAAGTACTGATAAAACTCCTTTTTGTCCATGTCTAGATGAGAACTTATCCCCAATTATAGGGTTTCTAGGAATTCTAACTCTATATTCAACCCTCGGTTCTTTTTTTTTTCGTCCTAAACTATTGCTACTCCATCCAATCTTCCCATTTCACTTTCTTTATGATAAAATGTCTTCATAGTATTCTTCTAAGTATCTTGTATTTAGAATACTGCAGTTCCTTTTTTTATCACTGATCCAATCGCAGGTATTCCATCGATTTCCAGCCCTTCCTAAATCTGGCTTTTATCCACATTCCTAACTTAATGAAGCATTTTAAATTTCGAAGATTTCTCCTTATTAAACTCTCCTATATCATAAGTATAGTTTTTATATACACACCCATGTCCAAATCCTCTTTCATATGATGATTTATTCAATATCATAGCATCTTCCATATCATATCCTGTATAACTAATAACTGCCACTACTGCATTTGTTCCTGAAGGATAATCAGCAAGTCCATATTCTTCTGGATTTTGTCCTTTTACCATAGGCAATTAAGGACTCATTAGTCTATAAGATTTATTATCGAATCTATAAGGAAAATTATGCATAGGAGTACCCATTGTCTATTTAGCCATTTAACATTAATACATATTTCTTGGTGATTAATTATAGTTTAAAAAAGGAATTTATGATGGCAATATCGATAATATATAAGAAGGTGAAAGTTCTTAGTATTCAGTATCGTTTCTTATATCTTCTTATGTACACGCTATAGATAAATGCACTTATTCGAAAGGGGAGATCCACTCGTTTTAATTTAAATGTAAATGCCTTACTGGTCTTACGAATCTACCCTCATTAGTGTATAAATAAACTCCAGCAAAAAGAATTTATTTATCTTGTATTTCCTTTCTAATTAATCCTATTTCTAAATCAGCAGAAACTAATCTTTCCTAGTCTTAAACAATCTTTAAATATTTTAAAGACTAACAAAATTATTCAGCACATTCATTTTCTATATACCCAATTACTTTGCCGTCTAGAATTACTGTAAGCATATTTGGTGGATAAATAATAGATAAATCATTCACTATAGGATTCATTCCCAATTAGCAACATAGTTTCTATAAATCAATATGCTTGTTTTTATCATAACCAGGTCTAGTTAAAGGCTTACAGGTCATTGCTATATGATTCAAAAGGCCGCAAGGTGCACCATCAGGTGTATGAACAGGGCATATGAAACCCCAGTTCTCAGGAAGTAATTTTCTGACAGTAGTAGTTTTCATTTCAGTAAAATATGCACCTCTATGGACGCTTCTAAAATGACTTAAAAATCTCATATTGTTAAGTTTATCTGCAATAATAGCAAATCCTTTATTCTTATTAGATATATAAAAAATAAATATTATTATTGTATATATAAATATATATTATATTAAAAATATATAATTAAATATTTAAAAATAATTTTTATATATAAAAAGTATATAAAATTTGTATTTATATAAATATATATATAAATATATATATATATATATTTATATGATTTATATATATATATTTTATTTATATTAAATTCTTTTATATATTTTATTTATAATATAATATAAATTTGAAATTTTGGTTTATTTAATTTTTTTTTTATGATTTTTTTTTAAATAAAAAAAATATTTAATAAAAAATTTAAAACTTGCTTTATTTTATATTTCTTTTTAATTTATTTTTATTTGTATTTATTATTTTAATAACCTTATCAATAAAAAATATTTATAAACTTTTATTATTTTCTATTTTTATCCATTATTTTTAAATAATAAAAATTTAGAAAAAATAAAATGGCCTTTTTTAATATATAATTTTTTACTTGCATTAAATCTAATCCAGTTTAACTTTTAAGATTACCAGTAGATAGAAAATACTCTATTTTAGTTCCTATAGAACCTTAAATTTCAATAGCCTTTTTAATATAAGAAACATGCAAAGTTTTTTAAGCTTCCTCTGGTTTTTATCCATCTTTAAATACTTTTTATCTAATTCCTTATAACATTTCCTCTATTTTTTCCTTCAAAATCATTGTATATAGGTGTCCAGGTAATAAAACTTCTTAATTTTATAAAGAATCTAGATTTTCCGGAGAAATTTCATCAGAGACCAGTCCATATAATTTTAATACCATAAAGCATAAAATATTAAACTTATCCATATTATTTTTTAAATGTACACAAATATTTTCATTTATAAAAATTTCTCCTACTTCCTTATCATTTACCTCATTATTATTAATATTTAATACAACTCGAAAACTCTTCCCTAAATAAGCCAAACATTCCTATTTACTATTTAAATTCATTGTTTTTGCACCTCTAATTAGCACTTCCACTCTATCTGAAAGCGAACTTTTTCCACTTTAACCTTTTACTAATTTATTATATATATGTAAGTCCGAAAAATCCCCCAAGCACTTCAAAATTACAATAATTGGAATCAAAAACTCTTGTTTTCGATGCAAAAGTCTCAAAAACACCTACCCGTCTGATATATAGTGCAAAGTGATACTTTTAGCATATAAATCTTCCCTTACACACTTCATTTATACTGCATATTAAGTATAATTAGGACCCCTATTAACATAAGAAGGCCTTAAAAAAGCTATTGGGTAATTTCTCTTTTACATAATGAGCATTCTAACTAATTTCTCATTGCCATTTACAATAAAATACCCTCCGAATTCATTACAATCCTCATGAGCATTCACTAATTATCTAGAATTGAGTTTACTTAAATGACAATGGTCACTCATAACAACTATAGGCACTTCTCCAAGAGAAAGTCTTATTTTTTCGACACTACCTTCATCTATTGTTCGACAAATTGTAGCCAGTAAAGGCGCACTATATGTTTTACGGCTTATACGACATTCCTCAGGCATTAATTTAGAATCTTCGCCTACACCAGAAGATTATCGGGTAGGATAACTATAAATATATATATATATATATTAAGTTAAATAAATAAAAATTACTTTATTTCTAAATCTTCTACCCATACACGCATTTTTTTAAACGAAAGATATGATTATTTTTAACTATCAGAACGACTTTCTTTTATTATTTCAAGAGGTTGGAGATATTCAGCAATTTTCTTTAATCCTTGGTCATATAAATAATTAAATGAATCTATATGATGATGGGATGCTAATTTTAATGTTTTAGCTAAGTCTAAATCGGATTATTTGGCTCTATTTATAAATTGTCGATTTGTTAAAGACTCTTTCATATTTTTTATTTTTAACTTTTTTTTTAATTAAATAGTTTTTTTTATTTTATTTCTATTATTATTTTATATTTTAGTATTTTTATTTTTTTAACCCTTACTAATATAAATATATGATAATAATTTTTTATTTTTATAAAGAAAATTTTAATATATACATAATTTTTGTTTTAAATAATTGATATTTATTAATATATTTTATTTTTATTTATTTACAAAAAACAAAAATTTATTCTTTTTATTAAAAAAAATTATTCTTATTAATTAACGTAAACATTTTTAAAAAAAGATAAAAATACCTAAATAAAATAAAATATTAAGACTCATTTAAATTAATATGTAAAAATATAAATAAAATTAGTTTTTTTAATTAAATAAACACCAATTTATATATCAATAAAATATATTTAAATAATTTATAAAAAAAAAGAAAAAAATTATAAACATATGAAAAAAAAAAATAAGGTTTTTAATTTTATAAAACTTATATAATATCAGTAAAAGAATTAGAAAAGAATATATATATATATATATAAAAAAATAAAATAAATTTAAAAAAAAATATATAAAATTACTTATTATTATATAATTAGTAATATTTATAATAAAATTATATATTATAAAAAATTAAAAAAATGATTTAAAAGAGTAAAATAATAATTAATAATATAAATGTGAGTAAATTATAAAAATATGTAAAAAAATTATAAATTATAAAGATATTATAATAAAAAATATATGTAAAAAGAAAAAATTTCAGAAATTAAATATATATGTGATAAATTTATAAAAATGAATTTTTTTTTAAAAAAATTATATATATAATAAATTTATGAAATTATAAATAATATATATATATAAATATATATTAATATATATATATATACATATATATGTATATATATAAAATCTTGATTGAGTTTTTTCTTTTTTTATTTTCTTTAAAAATAAAACGGTTTTCGTATAATTTCATTGTTTTTTGTTTATGTTTTTAAAAAAAAATTAAAATAAATAAATTAAAGATAATATGTAAATATATATATATATATATATTTATATATATATTTATTTATGTTATTTTAAATTTTAAATTTGTTTATTTTTATTTTTTTATTTAAGATTATAACATTACATTTTTTAATTTTTGATTAATATCTTTGAATCTATGTGTAAATATTTATTAAATAACTTTTTAATCATATATAAACTTGATTACAAATTTCTATTTTTATTATATTCATTTTAATTTAATTTTTTTTAATTATAATTTAATTTTATAAATTTTTTAATTTTTATTCAAATAATTTTATTGAATTAAAAAATCATAAATTTATAATTCCCTATAATTTATCTTATTTTATTTTTATATTTAAATTAATATATATTATTTATTTAATTTTAAATACAATAATTATAATATTTTATATAAAATTAATATAAATTTAATTAGTATATAAATATATTATTTAAACTAAAAAATTTATAATTAATATTTAATAAATTTTTCATATTTTTTTTTTTTATATAATAATCGAACTAAGCTTTTTTTTAAATAATTTAAATATGTACTCAAAATTTTTAATATTAGAATGCTTTTAAAAGATTAAAAACAATTAAATTTAATAAAATCTTAAATAACTTGACGAAATACGTCTTTTTAATATTGAATAAATATTTGAAAGTGAAAATAATAAAAAAAGAACTATAATAACTAATTCTTCTTAAGATATTTTTTATAATTTAAAAAAGTCGGCAGGCGTATAAAGATATTAAATTAATAAAAATAAATAAGAAAGTATAAAACTTTTTAAAAGTTCTTAATTTGTATCTGATCTTAATACATAAATATGGTATTATAAAAATTAAAAAGAAGAAATAAAAGGTCCTTTTAATTCATTTGAAATGGATAAAATGCTTGATAATAATTAGCTTAATTTTGAAACTAAAATTTCTTTTGGAGATCCGAATGAAAAATATATTAAAATAAGAAAATTAATTTAAGTTACTTTCGGAAATAAATATGATCATTTATTAAATAATAAAGATGATTTTAAAAATAATAATTAATAAAATGGATAATAATAATATTTTTAAAGGAAAATTAATAACTAGAAAAATTATGAAAATAATAATAATAAAGATCAAGTATATTTTATTAACAGATAACATTCTAATTAAGAAGAAATTCTTTAAAAATAAAAAGAAAAGACTTAATTAAAATATGAAGAATAAAATTTATAAAAAAAGGAAGAAAATATAATTTAAAAATAAGACGAAATATCTAAAAAAAATAAAATAAATAAAATTTAATGTGATAAAAAAGAAGAAAAAAAAGAAGAAAAAAAAGAAGAAAAAAAAGGAGAAAAAAAAGAAGAAAAAAAAGAAGAAAAAAAAGAAGAAAAAAAAGGAGAAAAAAAAGAAGAAAAAAAAGAAGAAAAAAAAGAAGAAAAAATGGAAGAAAAAACAAATGGAAAAAGTGATAAAAATGCGAAAAAAAAACAGAAAAAAAAAGAAAAAAAAACTTAGGAAAGTCAATAAAAAAAAACTGAAGATAAAGTTGATTTAAGTTAAAAAATACCAAATGTAGATTATAAAGAAGAATATGAAAAAAAAGATTAAATAAAAACAAAAAAACAAAAATAAAAGAAAAATCAAAAAGAAACTATAAAAGAAAAAAAAGAAATTATAGATGAAAGACAAGAGTATGTTTTAGAAGAAAAATCAATAGAATTCATAATAGAAAAAAAAAATGAATTTTAATAATAAATAGATGATTTTTACACAGTAGTTTAATAAAAAAAAAAACTAAAATAACAAAAAAGTGATAGAGAATAATTAAAAAAAAAAGATGATTATATAGATATAGAAGAAGTAATAGAAGAAGAAATAAATAAAAAATTAAAATAAAAGTAAATAAAAAAAGAAGAAAAAAATTAACAAATAAAAAATAAAAAATTAATAAATACTATAGAAGAAGAAGAAGCTTAAAAAAAAAATGAAATTTTTACAGAAATAGAAAGTTATTTTCCTGACTTAAATTAAGTAAAAAATTAGGAAAATAAATAATAAAATAAATAAATAAAAGATAAAAAATAAGAAAAAACATAATAATAATAATAATAATAATAATAATAATAATAATAATAATAATAATAATAATATTAATAATAATAATAATAAAATAAATATATATAATAATAAATTGATGAAGAAAATAAAAAAATATTGAAATTATTTAATTTTAATGAAGAAACAATTCATGAAAAAGAAGACGAAAAATGGATTTAAATTGATAATTATAAAGATAAAAAAAAAAACAAAAAAGATATGTAAAGTAAATAATCTATTGAAAATAATTAAGAAATAAATAAATAAATTAAATAAATACAAGAATAAATATAAAAAAATAATGATGAAAAATAAAAATATTAAACATAAATCGAAATAAATCCATATTTGTTTCCATCTTTAGAAAAAATTAGAATATAAGAAGGGACAAAATAATAATAATAATAATAATAATAATAATAATAATAATAATAATAATAATATTAATAATAATAATAATTTAAATAAGTATATAACAAAAAAAATTAGAAAAAAAAAATTAACTATTAAGAACAAGAAGAAAACATATGGGAAAAAGAGGAATAAAAAAAAGAAAAATAATAAAAAAAAAGAAATTAAGAATATTAAGAAGAATTCCCTACTTTTTGAAATATAATAAATTAATATATCTATTAAAATAAATATAAATATAAAAATAAAAAAATATAAATAAAAATAAATATAGATAAATATATATATATATATATATATATATATATTTATATTTATATTTATATTTATATTTATAGATTTTTGTTTTTATTTTCCATTTTATTTATATAAATATTCTTTAAATGCTTTTTTTTTACCTATTTTATATATTTAATTTTTTATTAATTAATTATAAAAACTTTAATTTATATATAAACTACATATATACTCAATTTTTTTTTTTATTTATAATCAATATATAACTAAAATAAAATATTTAAATATTTTTATGTTTTTTTTAAATTTTTATAGTTATATACTGAATTTTAAAATAAAAAATTAATTCTGTATATAAAAATATTATTAATATAATTAAAATAATTTAGTAATATTTTAATTATATAAAAAGTTTTAACAATAATATTAAATTTTATTAATAAAAAAATCAGATATACAGATAATATAATGAATTTTATTAATGAATATAACTAATTAATTATAATGTAAACATAATACTTACAGTAAAAAAATAAATATCAAAAGTTATGTTTATAAGGGAAAACTATAATGGAAATAAAATATTTTTATAAAATAAATAAGATTATTTATAAAAAAACTTATATTATGATATTAACTATACTAATTTTAAAAAAGTGAAAAAAGGATAAATATTTAAATATTTAAATACCATATACTATAGCTCTGATAATGATAAATATAAAAAATCTTAAAAACCAAATAATTAACTAATAAAATAGGAAGAAGAAAAAAATATTTTAAATAGCTTACAACTTGTTGAAAAAGGCTTATATTTCTAAATCTATTAATTATATAACTTTATAATTTAAAATATAATTAGGTTACATATTTAAGAATGTGCTATTAAAATAACATTTAAGCTATAAGCCATTAAATTGGTGCTCAATTTAAAATACCTTGTTAGGTTTAATAATTTATTCTATAAAAAAAGAAACAAGTATAATAAAAGATTAAACATTAACTCAAATTCATAATAATTTAATTTAAAAATCTAATTTAGAAAAAAAAAAATTAAATTAAAATTAAAGTTATGCATGGATTCCAAAGAGTAAATAGTATATATAATAAACTAAAAAATTTTATGATAATAAAATAATACTTGTACCAATCACTCCTTATGAAATTTTGTCAAATTTAGTAGTAAAAGATTTCGTAAATTAATATATATATCTAGGGTTTTTAAGTAATATTTTAGATAATTTAGACAGAAAATGATAAAAATAGAAATAAGTTTATATTTTTAATTAGGTTTCTTATCACTCAATAATTAGCAAAGATAAGAAATTATATTATTAATAAAGATCGTTAAATAATATTACCAAAAAACAATCAATAATTAAATTCAATTAAATTATTATGGTCTTAATAAAAAATAATAAAAAAAAGATGTTAAAAAAAAAATATATATATGATATTATAAATATATATAATAATTATTTTTTTTAAAAAAATAATATTATATATAAAAAAAATATAATTCAAATAATAAAAAAAAAATTACTAATAAAAGATTTGAAAGAATAATAAAAAATTGACAAAATTAAAAGTTAAATAAATAATCAGAAAAATAATATAAATAATATTTATAATATTTAAAATAAATTTATTTATAAAAAAATATAAATAAATATGTTTATTTAAAAAAATAAATATATTGAAAAATACATATGATATTAAATATTATTATATTTTTGTAATTATATATTTATAAATATAATAATATATTTATATATTTATATATTTATATAAATTTTATATATAGAAATATTTATTTATATATATTCATACATAAATTTTTATAGGCATATATATTTATATATAATCATACATATCTTAAAATTAATAATTATATTTTCAATTTTAATAATAATAAAACTTTAATTACTATTAATCTATATAAAGTTTTTTTCCTGATGTACTTCTAAAAATTTTATCTTATATAGTTTTTAAATATTCTACTTAACAGTTATCATTCCCAAAATAATTTTCTAAATTATAAATAATTATATTTTTAGCTCCTATAATATTTTCAGCCCATCTTAACATTTCATATAATTTTTCCATAATTTCTTTTAAATCTCCACTTTTTGATAAATCTACATATTTTAGACATTTTTTTTTAAAAACTCATTTTAATTAAAAAAATCTAAAACTATGCATTCTTCTAATTTAACGCTATAATTTTCCATAAATTCTTCTCTACAATCCCTATTTTCAAATAAAAAAGTTTCTATAAACGGCGAATAATGCTTTAAAAGCTATCCTGGTGCTTCTTCTCCTATTTAAATTTCCTTAACGATTTTAACTCCATTTATTATCCTAAATTTCCCTCTAAACCTATCATTTTCCTAAAGAGTTTTTTCCAAAACAATTTCACTTAGTGATCCATATCTTAAAATAGTTAAAATATATTCTCCATTTATATGCTCAGCCTTTAATACTGTACTTTCAACTCCAAAACTGCACTTTTCTCCTTACAAAATACACACATCTTAGTCCCAAAAATCATTAAAAACATGAAAATCAGCTGTCGGAGATACATGACTAAATATATTAGCTGACGGAGCAGCTATAGGACCTTCAAAAGCCTCCAATAATTATCTCGCAATATTATTTTAAGGTACTCTAATGCCTACAAAATCAGTTTCTGCAGTCACTATCCTTGGAACAATTTGAAAATTTGCTCTTAAAATTAAAGTTAGTGGTCCTGGCCAAAAGCTATCACCTAAAAAATTATATAAATCAATAATTTTTATATCTTCTTAAATATACTAAAGTCCTTGCTCCTTTTTTAATATATGAATAATTACTGGATCAGTTAATGGACGGCGTTTAATTTTAAATATTTTAAATACTGCTTCTGCATTTAATGCATTTGCACCTAATCCATATACTGTTTCGGTAGGAAACGATACTAAATTTCCTTATTTTAATTTTTGACAGGCTATATTAATGTCTTGGGGGTTTTTTGGGTTTAAAATTTGGGCTTTTATTTATTTTTTGTTTATGTTTTTTATTAGGTTCTATTCGTTTTTAATTAAGAATTCTTCAAGGTTATTTTCCATTTTTTTTTTTAGTTAAAAAAATAATTTAAGTGATTTTTTATAATGTTGTCTATAATTTAATTTAGTTATTTTCTATTTTTCTTTTATATATTGAAAATTTTAATAATAATTAAAAAAGCAAATTTAATTTTTAATAATAATTTTTCAAATATAAATAGTATGTTTTTATTATATATTTTTTATTTTTTATAAAATTATAATTCAATAAAATAAAAAAAAGAAAAAATTAAAAATAGGAAGGTAAATTAAAATTAATTAATTTTTTATTTATATACAATTATGTAAAAATTTATTATATAAAAAACTATTATAAACAATTAATAATTTTTTTATTTTTTTATAATAATATTTTTTAAACAATTATTTATTAAATAATAGTATTTACAATAAATAAAATAAAAACAATATAAAAAAAATATATCATAATTACATATATAATAAATAATAATTTTTAGAATATAAAAAAAAAAAAATCATTAATTTCTGAAATCATTACTTATATTTCCTTATAAATTATCTATATCATTAAAGTTTTAACAAGCTAAATGATCATCAACATTGAACTATACTTCAGATTCTTCTAACCCTTAATATCCATTATTAGATAAATTTATTACTTAAAAATTATTTTAAAAAGTTTCCTAAATAGGAGTTTAGCTATTAAAATTTTAAGAATTTACAATATTTGTAGTTGGATTAAAAGATTCATAAATATGATTATTATTATTATTATTATTATTATTATTATTATTATTATTATTATTATTAATATTAATATTATTGTTTTAATTAATGCAATTGTTCTATTTTGTAATCAAATATTATATAGGGATAATTGTTTATTGTTTAACTTATTGTCTGATTTATTAAAAAGATTAATTTTATAAATGAATTCCTTAATTTTATTATACAAAAGAACCTTAACTTTATATTGGATATTATTTTTATTATTATTATAATTACATTATTCCACTTTAATTTAATAGTTAAATATTAGAATTATATAAATTAGATTAAAATGTTGAATATTCTTCATTAAAATCCTAAAAATTTTAAATTTATATTTTATATGGTGTTAGAATTGATTAAATTTCATAAAAAGAAGGTCTTTATTTTTCATCGAAGCTAACCATTTCTGATATTAAATTGATAAGAAAAACTGAATATTTTTATTAAGCAATTTTTATTTATTAAAAAATACTATTTTAATTTATATAATAAGTATCAAAACAATAACATTTAGTCAATAACTAAGAAAGTAAACAACATTCAAGAATTGTCATTCCTAATGAAAAAACATCTGATTTATAAACATTATGAACAGGTTTTAATTCTTAATTATTTAATGCATTCATTAATATAGGAGATAAATAAGAATATTCATTATTTTAAAAAGCTTTAATATAGCCTTTAATTATATATAAAAAAAAAATTATATGTAAATAAAAAAACATTTATATATGTATATATTAATATATATGAAAATAAATATATATGTATTTAAATATAATTTTTTTTAAATATTAATATATTATTATTTTTAAATATTAAAATATATATATATATATATATATATATATATAAATATTTATTTACAAATATATTATTTTACCATTTTTATTAGAATTTAATATACCATTATCTGCAATTTTTACTAGTCCTTATTTTGTTAATAATATATTTATTGGTCTTAAATCTCCATTAAATATTTTATTTTATTCAAAAAATATACATGCGTTTACAATTGAATCTAAAATATACCAAATTTCAGATTCTTTAAAATAATTTTATTAATCATTTCTTTTTTTTATTTCTTTTTCTAAATTAAAAGGTAAATATTCAAAATAACATTAAATTTTTTAGTAGTCTCCACATATTTAAGTTTCTGAATTTTTTTTGTATCCAATCATTTATAAAATGTTCGGATGCTAGTATTATATTCTTCGATTACACTATTATAATATTTTTTTTTAATCTTCTTCAGAATTACTCCAAATAGATTTAATAAATAATTTATTTTATTAATTCTTCTTTTCTTTATATAATACTAATTTTTTTTATATATGAGTTTTTTTATTTTATTTTATTTTTTTACGAATATCGCCAAAACAAGGATCATTTTATTCTTTTAAAAATACATAATCATTTTATAGTTATTTATCTATTTCAGTATTATAATCCTAAACTGTATCACAACCAAGATTATTTCCCATTTTTTAGTTTATTTACTATTTTTCTAAAGTTGTGTTTAATATTTTATTAAATTAATTATAAATTTTATTTTTTATAATTTATATAAAAAAATATTAACATTAAAAAATATATATATAAATTATAAAATTAAATTAAAAAATATAAATCCATATGAAATTATAAATAATATATATTTATTCACAATTTTTTTTTCTTTAATTTCATTATATCATTACTATAAAGGAAATTTAACTAATTATATAATAATTTTAGTGCTTTTCTAGCAATTTCCCTAAATAACCCAAACTTAAGATACTACTACAAGAAAGGAATCTACATACTAATTTCCTAAATACTATATACTTTCCTAAAAGTATGTTAGTTTTTAGGTTAATAAATTAAAAACTTGAATTATCTTTTTGCTCTTTAAATATAAATTTTTACTACTTTAAAAGGTTTATACCCAAACACAAATTTTTCGAAAATCCCATCATCGCTATCCTCCTATTCCTTAACTAAAGTTTCAATAGTTTTTCTCGAATAATTATCCAGCCCAAACTTTTTAAAATGCATTTAATTTACATTTAGAAGAGTATCATAACTCCCCGTTCTCAATTTATAACTAACAAAATCACACAATTACTATAAATCCTATAAATAAAGTTTTGAATGCATATAGTTAGTCTAATATTTATAGTATCCATCTGCAATAAAAAGATTTAACAGTTCCCTCAAATTAATTTTTTTATGAATTATCCCAACCTTATTAAAAAAATAGAATCTTAAATAAATATAATAAGACAAAGAAGCTGTATATGAAATCTCTTCGAAATTTTGTACTATAATTTTAGGTTCTACACCATCCTATTTGCCTATAAAATATTCCACAAAAATATCCTAACCCTTATCACTTGTTATTTATGTAGAAAGTACAAATTCCTACATAGGAACTCCTATATTACCAAATTTCATAATATAAGCTTATCCTCTTTAATGCAATTCCATTTTCGATGTAATATCTTTTTATATTATTATTTAAAGAAAATAATATACATATATATATACCTTCCCATAAACGAATTTCCACAAACTAAGCTAAATGAGATAATCTAGGAGAATGTATATATGACTATTTATATGCTTTCCCTAATATAGAAGTTATTTATTAGAATTTCTCTATCATAATAATTTTCATACTAAAATCAGATTACAATTCTTCTTATTAATTCAAAAAGCATTAAGTTTTATATCTTTTCAAATGATTTTTCAATATATTTTCTGGAATTTGAGCTTCAGGAGGTGAATCTATATCTGGATCCGCCTTATTTTAAAAAGTATTACTATTTTCGAAAAAAGCATTAGAAAAAACTGGTGTTTCCGCTGTAATTTATTTAGGTCTATTTAATGTTATATTATTGTTATTTATAATTTTTTCGTCATTATTAAAAAATTATTCTCCTTTACTCAGTTTTTTAATTTATTCATTCAAAAAGTTAGTCTTATATTCGTTTAAATTTTAAGGATTAAACGTAGATAAAGTTTTATTTGCCTAAATAAGGAATTGCGTATAATTTTTAAACGGTTTACCATTATCATATAGTTAAAAAAGTACCATATCTTTCAAAATATTAGAAAATTAAATAGTCTAAATATCCCTACTTTATATATATCCCATTATTTTTCTACAAGTTTTCGGCACATATATAGACATCATCCATAAATCACATATTTAAAGGTTTTTATAGATTGTAAAAATGCAAAATTCAGAGCAATGCTTGTAGCTTTTATGAAAAATTACACGCGAATTTTTCCTTTGAGCATCTATTAAATATTTTTTTTTGTGTTAATTTAAATTCTCCTTCTCGAATGTATTTTTAACTACTTTATTATAATATCTTCTATAAGAATCATTAAATTCCCCTTTTCTTTCTCTATTTACTAAATTTATAGGTTTCATTTATAACCCTTTCCTATATAATTCTTCTCTAAAATAAAAAAAAGGAACCTAAAATAAATAAAAATATATATATTTTAGTTTATTCTTTTTAAAACAAAAAAACTTTATAAATATTCATTTATTCAAATCTAATATGATAACAAATACGTCTTATGGCTTTAATATAAACTTCATTAGAATCTGTAGAATACAGTCTCATTCCAAAAAGATCAGCCAAATCATTTTCATTGATGGCGATTTTATACATTTTATATTTTTAAACAAAATCTTAAAACTCAAGAGTATAAATAAGATGTTCAAAATCATTATAAATAGTCATAGAAATTAATATTTTTCCAAAATGTTAAATATTATCTACAATAGAAAATCTTTTAGACGACCTATAAGTTTCCATTTCCCTACTATTTTTCAAAAGTAAAAGTTTAAGGATTTAAAAAGACGGTAATTCGCTAATATTCGTTACTATTTTTTCAGTTTTTGATAATAACTCACACATAGATTTTCTTTTGCAAATAACCTACATATTATATCCAAAATCTTTAAAAATCCTATTTTTTTGACAAGAAATAATTTAACAAACAGAATAATTTTTTTCTTTATTTTCTTTTATTTTCTTCCTAAATAAATAGTACATCTAAATTGCCTTCAACTTCTGAGTTTAAAAAGACTTTCTAATTCTCAAAAAAGGTGAATATATAAATATGTCTAAATGTTAATAATTATAAGGAATTTCTTCCGTTTATTAATTTGTATGTAAAGTCATTTTAATAAAATGCTATTCACCATATACTATATACCTTAAAAAAATATAATCCTTACTCGATTCTACTTTACAAGTGCATTTATAATGAATTTCATAGGAACAAAAGCTATTTATTTTTTCGATTTTTTAAACTTTGTCATTATTATTTATATTATCATTATTTAAATTTAAATTATTTTTATCAATATTATCATCTATTTCTCTCACATTACATATATTATTAAGATATATAGAATTATCTCCATCATATTCACTTTCACTCTTTTCTGCTGTATTTTAAGTTGTACCATTATTATTTTCCTTTACTTGTAATTTTTTTTCTTTGAAATTATTTTTATAAAGTTTTTCAAAAGAAACCTCAAATAATTTTTCGTATAAAAGCCTTTATTTATTTTCCTCTATACTTTATTTTCTTAACAAAATTGGTTCATGTATTTTTAATTTTGTTTTTATGTCATTTTTATCACTTTTTTTTTTTTTTTTTTTTAAAAAAAAATATAATATTATATTTTTATTTAAAACGCACATTTTCAAAAAAATATTATTATCATGAATATCTATCCTTCTTTTTAAAATTTAAATAGTTTAAAAAATAAATCCTTTTGGTAATTTTTAATTAAAAATAATTCTTCTTATAATATTATTAAGTTCGTAGCATAAAAATATCTTCAATTCATCAATTTTAAAGTTTTTTTAAACTTTCTATTTATCATTTTAATAGACTTTTCCTGACCCTAATAATTAAATCTACTAAACAGTTCCAAAAAGTTGATTTTATCTATTATTATTATTAATTATAGTCCCAGAACTATCTTTTGGAGTATTCTCTAAATTAATTTAATCGAATTATTATAAGTACATTTTTTCTCTTTATTATTTTTCCTACAAAACCTACTCTAAATCTTTCACAATTTTCTATTTTTTTAATTTATGTACTTCTAAAACTAACTAAAAGTTTTCTTTTTGAAAAAAAGATCTAGATTAATTATCTTCCTTTATTTATTTAACTCCAAATTTTTCCTAACCACCTATATATTATAGTCCAATAGAAATAAAAAAATATTATAAAGGTTTCCTTAATTTTCTTATAAAAGAACATATTATACATGGGTTATTATTATATCTATATCTCCATATTTATTAGAAATAAGTCTCTTGTTTTTCAGGAAGTTTTATTACATTGTTTTAGATTATATTTACTAAATTTCTTTATGTAACTTTGCTATTTATAATCCTGTCAACTTAAGATATTCCATAAAAATTCACTTTTTATGGGTTTAATTTCTTTTTGTTTTATAAATCATGTTCTAATTTTTATATTTTTTTCACAATAATCTTAAATCTTTATGTACTTGAATTTTTTTTAATTTAAGGATTTTTCCTGTACATTTTTATATTTCAAACATATATCTAAATTAATTTTTTTTAAAAAAAAAATAAAAAAACTGTTTATTTAAAAAAATAATTTTTAAATCAAAAAAAAAAAAACCTATATAATAAAATTTCGAAAATATATTTAATTTCTGCCGCAGCTTCAGCATCTTTTAAAGTTGGTAAATAAGCATTTTTTTATGAAAGTCCAAGAAAAAACTTAAAAACCATATCTCTATTATGTTCCGTATTATCTTAAATTTCATCAAATCCTTTTGTTTATCTTATTAAAGAAGAAATAGAGGAGCTTCTTTTTTTATTGAGATTTTTTTTTTTTTCTTATTTTTTTTCATTAATTTTTTATTATTAAATAGTTTCAACTTATTATTCTTTTAAAATCTCAGAAATTCCAAAATCTTAAATCTTTTATATTTCATCTATTTTTTCTTAAGGTCTCATATCAATTTATTTATATTACATATATTCCTTTAAATAATTTAAAATAATTGGCCAAACAGTAATAAAATTATTTTCTTCTTTAATTTCATTTATTTGTTTCACAGAAATAACCATCTTATAAAACCAATTATCTTAACTACTAAAATTAATCTATAAATATTAATTAATAGATGAGTATTTAATAAAATTAGCTTTCCAATATTAATATTTCCCCATTCTAAAAGTCGAAAAAGTAAAAACAGGTACATACATTTATTTCAATTAACTATATAAATAATCATGATTTGAAAAAACAGACTATTAAACCTAAATTGATTTCTTCAAATTAAAAAAATTATTAGAATTAATTTTTAACTAAGCAACTCCAATAATAGAATTTAATAAATTTGATTAAGAGTTATCTTCTTTTTTTATTTATTATTATTACTAATAATGTTATTTTTCTATATTATTTTAGTTTAAATCTTTAGAAAGAGAATGTTCCATTTTAATCACTGCTGTAAAAGAAGTATTAAATTCAATATCACTAAAACTTTCTAAAAATAAAAATATTTATATAATATATATTAATATTTTAAAAAGTAAAAACATTCTAATTAATCTTTTTTTTTCATATTTTGGATTTGGTGTGTTTATTTAGAAAATATAGACTTTTTATTAGAATCAATAACAAAAGAATTCTATTTATTATGAATAAAAAGAGTATTTTTTTTAGTAATTTAATTTTGAATTTAACTAGAGCTTTTACTTGATATTTATTAAGAAGAAGTGGGTGAAGGTATACCTATTTCATCCATTATCCTTTGAATTTCATTAATATTTTTTTCAATGTTTTAGTTTTCATTATTTTAATGATAATCTTAATCTTATTAAATATTTAAATTTTCTTTTATTTACTTTTTTAATTTTATTAAGTGAAAAGCTGATTATATTTTAAAAGCGGCTACTTCTTTTTTTTATTAATGTATTTCAGTTTCTTATTTTATATTCTAATTTATATTACAATTAAAATCAATATCATTAGTTAAATTATCATTATTATAATAATATAAATAATTATTATTATTATTATTATTATTATTATTATTATTATTATTATTATTCTTATTATTATCATTATTATTAAAATTATTTAAATTTTGCTTTTAACCACTAAACTTTTCTTGTATTTTTTCTTCTTATTATTATTATTTTTTTTACAATTTTTCTTTTTCAAAATTTTATTTATTGTTTTTATTTTCTATAATATTTTTACGTTATTTTAGTTTAACTTTTAGACTTTAATAATCATATTTTTATATCCCATCTAAAAATTCTAACTAATATTTTTTCTATTTTTTCGCTTTAGAAATTTCCCATTATAAAATACTATCAATATTCTTAAACTATATTTCATTTTTTTTTTATATTCTTTATACTAAATTACTTTTAGATAAAGATTATTATGTTTCTTCTTCTGAAAATACATTCTAAAATTAATAAATATTATTAAAACTTTTTTCTTCCTAATTAGGAATCAATTAAATTCCTTATTTTTTTGCTATGATTTTCTTTTTTCTTGAGCTTAAGTTAAAGTATTCAGAAATATTAGGATTTTGTAAATTTTATTATGAACTTTTATTTTCTTGATAATTTAATTAAGTATTTGATTTCTGATTTTAGCTTAATTAAATTTTAAAATAAGGAGATTGTTTTTGTTTGAAATTATAATTTCTTTTCTTTTCGTTAATTAAGAAATCTTTTTATTATTATTTTATTTAAGAATCATTACTTTTGCCGTTTATATTTGCAATAAATTAAGTTTTTATTTCATTTAGTGAATAAACATTATTTTTATTTATTTTCATAATATTATTAAAAATTTATTTATTTGTTTATTCTTTTAGTGATGCTTCGCTATATTTTTCTTATTTTTTAAAAAAAGTATGAATACTGGTTTTTGTCGAACTTTAGGTTTCACTTTTTTTTTAATTTTTCGCATAATTTTCTAATTTTTCACAACTTTAAGTATTTTTTCTTTATTTAAAAAGCCTTCTTCTATTGGAGATTTAATCTTCTTTTTTTTTTGATAATTTTTTTAATTTATTTAAGAATTTTTTCTTAAAATTTTCATCTTTAATTTAACTTTATATAAAATTTTAAGTCTATAAAATCTCCTTTTCAATCTAATATTATTTTATATATTTTTGCTCATCATTTTATTCTTATTCTTCTTCTTTTTTTCTTGCAAATTTAATTAGTTAAATATTAAAATAAATATAAATTAAACAATCATTTTCATTCGCATTTTATTTTAAAAAATTATTATATAAATTTATACAATATTCAAACTAAAAAATATTCTCTTTCTTCTCTTTTTTAGTTAAATATGCAAATCCTCCTAAGACCCTAAACTTAATCCAATTTATAAAAATATCATTATTATTTAAATTTTCAGCCAGTTATAAAATGTATTACTCTAAACCTTTTATATTATCATAATCAGACTTTAAAATTAAATATTTTATCATTTTTAAATATAGTAAAATCAAGAAAAGATTAATAATTTCACTTTTTTCAGTTTCCTATTTTTTTAAAAGTTCAAATTCGCATTTATTATAATGTTTTATAAAACTATTAAAATTTTATTTATCAATATATATTTAGCAAATTTTTATCATATAAAAAAAATATTATTTCATATTTTCTGGTTTGTCTATATTCATTATTTTTAATGAAAGTATTAATTATTATGGTTTTATTATATTTTCATTCTATTTTTTTATGATAAATATTCTTTTTTTTTTTATTTTGTAAAATACTAACTTTAATTAATTATGTATTTATATTGCTTCTGAAATATTAATCTATCCGAATTTCTTCAGGTAAAATAATAAATTCAAAAAACTTTATTTTATTTTCTAAAAACTACATATTTTATATTAAAAAACAATTTAAAAATTGAAAAAAAAGATTGTGAGAAAAAGATTATTAATAAATATATATATATATATAAAAATAAAATAAAAAAGATATCTTTAATATAAATATAACATAAGAAATGAGATAAAATAATTCAAGATCACTCTCATCAAAGTTTACAATAATAAAATCCTAAGCATAAAAGGACGAAACCTCTATTTTAAACTTTGATGGTTTAAAAATAACTGACGACGAAAAATTAGATCAAAAAGATACATCATATCATGAAACAGTAAAATAATATAAAAAACAAACATAATAATAAATATATAAAAAATAAAATAAGTTAGTTTATGAATATCTTCGAAAAACCAAAATGGAGGGAATAATTCTTTTAGCTCTTCGATAAGCTATAAATGGGAATTAAATACCGAAAAATCCTTATTGCGCAATATCCCGTTCATTAATACAAAGTAATTTAAAAAACGATTTGGTTTAGAATTTCGAAAATATAGCAAAACATTTTCGAAAAAATGCAGTTTCAAAATAAGGAATATATGGAATATCAAGCGTTTAATTTTAAAAAACATAAATTTTTGGCCTAAAACATATTTTAGAGTTAATAGATTTACCCAGATTTGAGTTATATTTAGAAGCCATAAAGGAAATTTTACTAAATTATAAATTCACAAATGAAAATTTTGAAATTGAAATCACTAATAGTATAAGTGGAGGTATTATGTTTAAAAGTGAACTTTTTCCATATGCTAGTTCTCATCCTAAAGATTTAGAAATTTTTTGTGAAGTATTTGTTACTGCTCAAAATAAAGATGTTGCTTTAGATGCATTTACAAAGTTTGTAAAAAAATATTATAAATATCTATATATATAAATAAAATAGGTTAGTGAAGATGTTATTACTATTTCAAAAGAAAAAACAATGAATATTATCAAAGAATTTATTTTTTATAAATCTGATTCACATAGTTAAAAAAAGAATATTAAAAAAGGGTAAAAAAAAATAATAATATATATATATATAATTATAGTTGGAATGTAAAAGATATTATTTTAAAATAAAATGAATTTATTGCAGATTTAAATATATATACCTCTACGAAATAAAGTTTATATTGGAAAGGATATATGAAAGTGATGCGTTTCGAAGATAACGAAGGAATACTAGACACTGAATTAATAGATGAATTTGAAAATAACGACGATAGTAATAATAATGAAGAATAGAAAACAATAACCTAAAAATTACGAAAGAAAATATTTTAATATATCGAAGTATATAAAGTCTATAATTTTCATTACATAAATCCTTCTAAAGAAGATTAAACAGAATCTTTTTCTAGTTAGAAATTAGGAAGTTTATTAAAGGGCATATTTTTAAACTAAAAAAGTGCTGAGTAATACGCCAGATTTTTTTATAAACCAAACGAATAATTTATATAATCTAAAAACTTACGATAATTCATCGACTTTTAATTAAAACTAGTATTTAAAAAATGGTAAGACTAAAATATTATGGCCTGTACATGGGAATTAATGTATATGGTCCTAATTATATAGGAAGATGACCTAAGAAGGTCTTTAATGGACTCAATAATTTAAATTTTAAGTTCTGATTTGTCCGCTTTACTAGCTTTATCTAAAAGCAATATCATTTTGCAATAATTAATTGATTTATACGAAAACACATCCTAAGCAATTATTAAAGGAGTCATTATTTCCTCATATAAGGTTTATAAATAAAAACTAAATGGAGTATATGCAAAATCCTCTAATTCAGATATTTTGAGAAACCGAGAACTCCTTTATATTCTTTTTAAAGAAATGGAGGATAAACAAGGAGAATTTGATATAAATCCCAAAAGCAATCTTGTATTGAGAACTATTCGTAAAATCACTAAATATACAGGTCTTGGTAATTTATAATAAATAGGAAGTTTAACCAAAAATGTACCTGAATATATAATGGTCACCCTAGAAAAAAGAAAATTATTAAATAAAGATGATGTCGATTATATTACTTATGATAAGTTTTTGTAAAAAAAAGCAGTTTATAGGGTACTTAATGTAGAATAAGAAGTCGGGTAAATTAAAAAAACTTAAGAATTCAAAAAAATGCCAATATAAGATATTGAAGATAAACTTATTCTTACTTATTTTGATAAATATGATGTATATGATACTCTTTATCTTATTTTAAGAGAAATCTTTTTTGGATAATAATTACCTAATCCTATTCCTAATATAGTTTTAAGAATAGAGGCTAAAGCTTTGAAATACTAAATTTTCGAAGTTAAATAAAAAGACGTAATTTTTTTTTTTTAAAAAAAAAAAATTAATTAAATATTTTTTATTAAAATAAAAAAATAAAGATTGCTTAAACCCTCCTTTAAAATTTAGAAGATGATGATAAAATAGATAGAAAATTATTAAAAAATTCAACACCTGATATATTTAAATATTGTAAATTAAAAAAAAAAAAAAATTAAAAAAAAAAATATAGATAATGAAGATATGAAAAGATTTGGACTTAAACCTGTTTATGGACTAAAAGATAGCCTAAGTTATGCAGCTATATAATAATTATGTGAAAGGAAATTATATTTAGAAAAATATTTGGCTTGGTAAAATTCTTTTAAGAAAAAACCCCCCGAAAACTATTAAATAGCAGATATTTTATCAGTTACAGGCTCTAATTTATTCTAACATTAATAAATAACAAAAAGGGATTATGTAGAATGGAATTTCGCCTGGGAATTTCTAATAAAAGGAGAAAATTAAATTATAGCCTAAAATATATATTACGATCTTTTAATATCTTATGTATATTGGCTTAATACTAAAGATGCGATTGTAATTGGTTTTTTTTTAGAAGGAGTAAAATATATATGTATATATATATATATATATACATATAATATAAAGGATAGAAAAAAACCAGCATTAAGTATAGATAAAATAATAAATGAATACGAATAATATAATATAAGGACAGATTTTGCAGATTTATTTAAAAGTGGTGAAAAAATATTATTGAAGTTTATAATAAATCAATAAAATAGATTCAGGATAGTAACATTAGACATAAACTGTATATATATAGATAAAACTAGTGGGAGTCCATAAAGCTTAATAAATACGGAAAATCCTGACACTTATATAAGAGTTTTTTTTAGTGGAGATGAGTCCATTTAATGGTATAAATTATTTGAATATAAAGATAAATTTATTAAAAAACTTATTATAAGAGAATAAAAGAAATTATTTTACACAGGATCTTTAAACTAAGGTATGAAATTAGAATTATGTAAGATTTTCATTAATTTTGATGATATTTAATATTTTATAAGAAGTTCGAGAATTCTTTATTCTCTTTCAGAACATTTTTATAATTATAGTAGAGAAAGTGAAGTTTTTGCTTTTTTAATTTCTTATTTAATGAAACCTTTAAATAATGAAGAAAAATAAAAAAAGTCAATTTTAATTAAATTGAATAATATTTTAATGAATTTTCTAAGTATTTTAAAAAAAATATTTAATTTTTAATTTTAATCAAAAAAAGTTGCCTTTAAAAAGATCTTTTTAATTATGATAATATTTATTTTGAAAGTTTAAGTGCTTCTGTAATTAATTAATTGAATTCACTAGATAGACTATTCTAAGAATAAATTGTAAATGAAAAATAATATGTTAGATCATTTAATAAAATTCACGATATAACCACTATGATGAGTAATTTTAAAATATTTTAATAAAATTTATAATTTTTATAAATATAATATTTAAAAAGCTGATTCAATTATAATAAATTTTAAAAATTTACTATTTGATGATTATTAATTTAATATATTATGGGGATGAAGTATATGTTATTATATATTAAATATAAATTAAAGAGATTATATTTTAATTTAAATATAGAAAATATTTTAATTAATATATAAGTTAATATTTGTAAAATAAAAAAATTATTACTTGCTTTCATGTTATTTTTATTTTTTCATTTATTTTTAATGAAAAAAAAAAAAGAAAGAATATATTAATAAATAAAAAAAAAATTATTAATATATATATATATTTATATATTTATATATTTATAGAACATTTTTATTTACTATATTATAATAAGGTTTTAATAAATTATATAATTTTTTATAATTTTTATTAATACCAATTTATATTACTATATAGAAAAAACGTTTTTTTTTTGTCTAAAATATTTATTTTTTTAATTTAAAAGTTCTATTTCTAAAAAAATAAAATATTTAAATTATATAATCTAATTTTCTTTTATTAGTTTAATTAGAGGGGCGTATTTAGAATAATATTTTATATAATATTAAACTTTTTAAATATAATTTTTATATTTATTTTTTTATTTTAAAATAAAAATAAAAATTTAACGAATTTCAAATTATGAATTTGATTTTTTATACTTTAATT